ACATGACGTTGCCCCTCTTATTATTATAAACCAACGTTTCTCCGTGGTGAATTAAAACCTACAATTACAAGTATTATTCAACAAAGACGTTTATTTGTTAACAATACTACACTAAAAATACTTGATATATTTACAGATATATTACACCGTCCTTGTGTTCTTCACTTGATTATTTTCTTTACACACGACTCCGTTCTCTTGATTATTTATTTACACAGTTCACTTCTTCTAATTATTTATTTACACTATCGCACAGTCCAATGCATTGTCCACGGTCCACTGCGGTGACCATATTTCCCTGCGCAGACCACAATTCACTGCGCAGACCAGGGTCCACTGCAGTGCTATTTACCGCAATGCACACTTCACAGCTCAGCTTCCACTGCAGACTTCAAACTGCTGACTGCCGTTCCTCTACTGCACCACTGTTTACCGCGCTGACTGCTGACTGCTGTTCACCGCAAATTGCGCATTTTACAGCTTTGCTTGCACTTCAGACACACTGACTCTTTACTACTTGACTGATTACATACACTAACTGACTCGCGGCTGCTTACTTCCGACTACTACTCTGACGGCCGTCGGCAGCGGCGAATTTATACCTGACCGGCGTTCGCCTCGAGCCTTCGAGAAAATGCGCAACACCTCTACGCGACTCGCAAATGGCCCGGAACCGTCCAGTTCGGGTTGGGGAGGGAGAGAGGGCGCCGGCAAATGAAGCAATCCGCGCAGCGAATCCCGACAGATGATGCAATATTCTTTACAATACGAACACAAAAGCACCCGGGTAACCTGGGGTTCTATACAATAACCCCCTGTTCGATGGTTGGTTGTTAGTGATTCGGAGCGCGCAAACCACTGAGATAATTAGTCCCATGTGGTGCAGATTTCGTTCTCGTGAGGTGACTTTAGTCTTTCCCCGCGAGATCCGGCGCCGACCTTCCGTTGGGTAGCTGGTTTTCTCTCAATCAAGTATCGCCCACTAGCGATGCACCTCCCCAACCGGGGCAAACTCTTAGTTCCTGACTTGTCTCCCGGCGTGGGTGTAGTGTAGTGCACAGCTCCGGCATTCGCCTGCTGTTGTTTGGGGACAGGACGGAAAACTACGGATCACTGCAGCCGGCCGCTAGAATTCTCCTCCAGACAGCGACTGAATTCGACCCAGCTAACAAGCTAGTGTTGAAAACCTTGCCACTATCAGGACTCGAACCTAGGACAGAGGCACTGCAGTCACATCAGCTGATGCACTCCCGAGCACTCGAGCTAGGTTATGCAAACCCACACACAATGTAAATAGCTAAACACAAGAGTTAAGCAAATGCACACACACAAACAAACGCTCTCCAGAACATCCGTCCAGCGCGCTTGCCGAGTACCGAATCAAATGAATAGTAGAAGTCTCTTAAGCTTACATCGCTACCAGACAAGAAATTGCGGAAGTTGCATCTGAAATTACTCATGTACCTTAAAATAGATGACGCCTCATGGAAACGACGCTGGCGAAGTCTCTAGTCCATACTCTGAAACAGGGAGAGTTTCCCCTCCTGTTCCTTCCTGATTACAGTGTATTACACTCCACACGCTACTGATTGCTAATTACGTTTTAGGCTACAAAATCTAATAGATGAAATACTTTCTCGCGAATATGGATTGTTATATGTCCTGTTTAGGACGTAGTTGTCAAGTATCCTATCCTAACGTTCGCCCTCACGTTCGGGCATGCGTTCACTATTACATACTCTCTACAGTCTTGTAGAAAGATGAACTTGTCCGAGATAACGTACCGATATTCCACAATCGCAGTGTCAGCAAATGCAGAGACGGTGGCGCTTAATATTTAACGGCGCGGCGGGTTGCGTCGAGTAAATAAATAAATAAATAAATAAATGGAAATCTGCTGAGCCATGCAAAGTGCTCGTAGTGAAGGGGAATCGCGCGGCCTAATCGCATCCTGTTGATCTCGGATGAGGTTCCGCGAGAGAGCAGTTGGCGCGCAAGAAGCCTCTCGAATACCTTTCCCATAACAGGAAGGAGACTGATTGGCCTGTGGCTCGCAGCGATCGCGAGGCCCTCTAAGCGGAGCCCTTTTTAACAAGGATGCCTTTTAAGCGGAGCCCTTTTTAACTTCATTAGAGACGCGGCGGTCCGCATCGCTGGAGTGGGGGCGGCGGGTCCCTCGCCGGTGCCCACATACGCCGACGACCTCGCGCTTCTCGCCCACTCCCCGGAAGAGCAGCGGGGAATACTAACTAGACCGTACGCAAACCGCGCTCGCCAGGACGGACGTCAAGTTCAAGCCCGCGAAATGCGACACCCTTGCAATCAGGAACAGGCGCCTGCGGCCGCCCTGACCGCCGGAAGTCGCCGCAATAAAAATGCTCTCGAGGCTCAGTGGCGAAGTCACTTGCCTTTCACTACTGAGGTTCCGGGTTCTCGCAGAACCTCATGTAAAATTTGTTACGACAAAACGAGTTTGCATGCTTCACAGGGGCTAGCCCAACCCCTGTGAAGTGTCCTGAACCCTCCCCAATCCTAATTCTTTCCCAATTCTGGCCGCTGAATAGTGGCGCAGGGGCGCGTAGCAGGAGGCGCGTACGCGGAGATGCTACCTGGCGGTCCTCTCGACAACTGCCTGAGACGAGACGTGACATTAAATAACAGATCATGTTAATGGAGGATTACTCCTATAAATATAACGTTATTATTAAAGGGGTATTACTCCCAAGCGCGAAGCACTCACCCCCTCCGGGGGGGGGGTTAGAGACGCGTTGCGTTAATTCAGATGCAACGAATTTAAAAAATGTGCAGCAGGAGGGGAGTGAACACCGTGGCGCGCAGCATCGGCCCAGTCACCAAGTCATCGCTCGTAAGTCCCTTCGGGAGCTCTTCCATAAAGCGCACGCGCAGCGACGGCAAGAACAGGCAGCCCAGGTCGTGCACGCCGCATCACTAGCCGGGGGGGGGGGGGGAACTTCATACGGCCCGAACTCCACATGACAATTCCTGTCAAATTCTTGCTCGCGGCCCTGACCCCCTACCCCGAGAACCAGAGCAACGCGGCCCGCGGAGGGCGCAGGCAAACGGATGTAGACTGTGGGCCACGCCGCCTTCGAATGCGGGAGCCACTCGTCGCTGAGGATGCAGAGACCCAGCAGCATCTGCCACTTGCACGAAGAGGCAGCCGGAGCCCGCGGCTGGCAAGTGATTCGTTTGTGACCCGAACCGGCCGAATCTAGCCAAGTCATGCACACTTTTTAAGACATTTGGCAGTTTTCGCACAATGTTAAGAAATACCAAAAACAAAATTTCTTCAAAAACGACTCATTTTTTTCTTTGAACTATTGATGGGGATAGTGCTGAATGTACTCTATGATATGACATAAACATCACATTGCTCTATTCTTTTGATGTTTCAAAAATTACAAATGTCACAACTTGACCTGTGTCAACTGGAACTCTTGACCTTTGCATACAGGAAACTCTCTAGCTCTTCTTTACTTACCTCCCGTCAACCGGCTCTCGGCTCGCTCCGATGTGAGAGGACGGGTCAGCACTGGCCCAAAGAAACTTCCCGAGGAGCGTGTGGTCAAATGAAAGAGAATAACTTTCTTCTGCGCTTGTTTATTAACTCGAGTTCGTTACATACTTAGATACGAATCATTATATTACTTTTTACTATACTTTGACTATAACCATATCACATTAGGTTGAACTGTAAGACTTGCATAGAGTAAAACTAGACTTGCTCGCCCCTGGCACCAACTTACCATACCGACAGCCGTCATGGTTTCTCCTCGAAGGTCTTGCCTCGTCTCACGGCTGGTATTTCTACCCGCACACGTTCAAGCCTCCGAACCTCGCGAGCCCAGTCACCGCCTCGCCTTCTCCATCCCACTTCACCTTCCACACGCCTTTTCCTGCGTGGGCACCTTAGCGACCAAGGTGGGCGGGGTGCGGGACCCGAAGCGCGCGCTGAGCATGTCTTGAACTTTTCCACCGACTTCGCCTTATCTGATATGCGTTTCAAAATGGAAAAAAGTTTGCTCACCGCATTTTTATGACTTCATTTCCATCAACCCCATGTCCGTCGCACAAAAATGTATTTTTTTCACTTGCCTCTCACGTCGTTAATATATACATCAGCGGCAATTTGTTCACATTAATATATTTATGACATGTTCTTTAAATAATATCGCAAAACATTTATCGAAAAAAACCGTTTTCTGAGAAAACTAGCTCAAAATTCCGCATTTTCAGAAACGCGTAAACGCTATTTTCTTTAAAACTTTCTTAAATATCATGTACTTGTAAATGCAAAGTGTAAAGAAATCACTGCTAATAAGAATATTAACGATGTGAGATGCTAAAAACAAAACAAAACAATTTGTAATTTTGAAAAACCAAAGAATAGAACAAAATATTGTTTACGTCTCCCAGAGCGTACATTTAGCACTATCTCTACCAAAAGTTTAAAAAAGAAAAAAATTTTTTCAAGAAAATCTTGTTTTTTTTTAAACTGTACATATTGCACGCAATCTATGAAAAGTAACAAAAAAAATGTGCAAGACCTTCTTGAAAGACCCAATTTTGGAAAACAAATTTCTTGTGATGGAAAATTCTATATCTTCAATATTGTAGTTGTAGGAAGCCGGTAAGAAAAAATTCATATTTTTAAAATTTTCGAATTTTGAGTTAACAGTGAAAAACATATTTGTGTTAACAATATAAGTGTATCTCACTCTCTTCTTTCAAGAAATTTAAAGAAAAAATTTGGAGACATTAAGAAAATTTTGAAAAGGTCACAACGACTTCATGTACAGAACCCTCAAAAATGAATGAAAATTTGTCAAAATCTTACAGCTTCGACTCAAGGCAAATGGACAGGGGTTCCTTCAATGTGGAAAAACTCCTACGCATGGTTTAGGTGCTAGTAGTGTCCACGGACGGGTAGACGCTTTGAAGAAACAAAACAACCAAGAAACTACAGTTTTTTGTTACCAGGGGACCCCAAAACTTGTATTTCCATTGAAATCTCAAAAATTGATTTTACTTAACTTTCCCTATACTATGTATATTTCATTGTATATACGTACATATATGAGAAAGTAGAAAGTAAGCTGATGGTACAAAACTCATACGCATGCCTATTTTATGAAATGTGTGATTTCATTAAAGCATTTCAAGGGATATCTTTCGGGGGACATCGTGACAGAAGGGGCCTTTTTTCTGGGCATCAAAGTCATGCAGTGTCACTGTTACCAAAAAGACTTAGGAGTGCATTTAAGAACACAGACGCTGTTACAAATTCCACATTCCAAGTTAAAACTGAAATAAACACTTGCAATTTAAAACTGTACACTCAAACTCATTCAATCACACAATTCACTCAAACTCATTCAATTTTCTACTTATAAACTGTTTTATTATCAAGTTTCAAATTAATGAAATCAGTCAGCTTCAAAACATTTTTTCTACAATATTCAAAGTAGTTAAACATTTCATATAAAAAAGCTTAAAAGTGTATTATAATATTTTTCCCCGGTCTTAAATGACACTGTCATCGGTCCCCTCTCCATCTTCAATGACACTGTCATTGTTCTCATTAGCATCTTCAGTGACACTGTCGTTGTTCTCATTAGCATCTTCAGTGACACTGTCGTTTCCTGCAACATTTTCAATGACACTGTCGTTGTTCTCAGCATCATCACCAATGGCACTATCATTCTTGTCTATGATTTCCTGCAAAAGAAAACGGGATATACATATCAGTTTCTACAGAAGCTGTAAGCACACAGATGAACCAACTATAAAAAATAAATGTTGAAATTCAAATAAAATCAATTCATATTAATGGACATAATAACATGATAATACAATAAAACATTGGGTTATGCTTCTCCAGTAAAATCTGCATTAAAATCAACATCACTTTAAAATGATTTTTTTCCATTTTTCAAATTGTTTAAAACTAGGTACCATAATTCACAAAACAATACTAATATGTTCATTTCAGGATGAAATATGGAAGTAAGAAATCCATTTTGAATAAGGATTTTATGTTAAAAAAGCATATTAAGCAAAAATCAACATTAAGCAATTTTCAACATTAAATGCACATACTATAGTGTCACCTCCAATTCACATTGTACTTTTAATATAGCACAAAAACAAGGAAACCGATGAACTGAAAGAAAATTTACACATAATAAATTTTTGGAACAAAATAAACTTTTGAGTTCTTTCTAATCTGAAATATACATTGTTTAATCTTCGATGTAAACTAAGGATTAAAATATTTTGATTAAAATTTATTCATCAGATTGTACACAAAAATGTTATTTTAATATTCCTCTGTTTCCAAGTCACACAGTTTTATTGTTTTTAACTTTCACTATATCTTTTCATTTTAATGAATTCTTGTTCATATGGGAAAACATCGTTTACAATTTTCTTTTAATTTGTTCCAGTTTCTGCTTTACAGGAGGTAATCTTAGACAAGATTTTCTGCAATATTAGTGTGTCACAAATTTGAAGAGAGAATGCTTTTTTAGTGTGCTTCAACTCTGCTCTACCAACGAAGTCAAAGCACAAACCAGCTCAGTTCACCTGCTGCAACCAGGGCCCAGTGAAAGGGCAGCAGTGGTGTAGCGAGGACCGCTTTGGCCTGCCTGCTTTGTTAACACTATTTTAGGAACCAAAACTTATACATTCCATATTCAGAGAATGTCAGAATTATTTTAATACATGTATTTGACAGAATAAAAAACAAATTCAGAAAGATACGAACAACTGATATCAAGATTTTCCTCATCTGAATTTCATCTCCAAAAATAATTACATTCTAAAACTCGTTAATAACAACACTACAAGTCTTACTGAACAAGGCTTGCATTACCCAAAAAAATCAAGATGAGATTTCAGAATAAAAGGATTTTGACCAATTGAATAAAACTAAATACTGTACATATTACACTAACATTTAAAACTTCAATCAAACATCTTGCTTCATTTAGCATTTCCTTTGCCTTCTCATTTTCCTGCTCCAATAATTCTATTTTTTCATAAAGAGTTTGGTTCTCGTTCAGGGCTTCATCAAGAGCAACTCTTCTTGTTTCAGCTAATTGCTTCCAGTATGCTTCACTGGGCTCTAAAAAGAAAGGCACAGCATGAATACCGCAAATAATAATAGTAATAGAAGAAGTAGTAGTAGTAGTAGTAGTAGTAGTAGTAGTAGTAGTAGTAGTAATAATAATAATAATAATAATAATAATAATAATAATAATAATAATAAACTATTTCTTGTAAGTGAAATGGCAGTAATCTCTTGTGAGTGTCATGCAAGTGAGGTTTCATCTCCGATAGAACATTATAAGAGATACTTTGTTTGAGTACTCTATTAGTGAGGGCCTTCAAAAGTTAATATCAATATCCAAAGAAAAAGAAAAAAGAGGGGGCCACGTAGTACATCCAGTAGGTAACAGTGGAAATGAAAGATAACCTGTGAAGAGTACAGTTGGTTGTTTTTTTTAATGGACGCAATACTACAAACCATATGCAAGACATACCCCTTTTAACAGACCACCTCTCTCCTCAAGAAACCACTTGACCATTCATAACAATATTTAAGAAATCACTTTCAGGAAAATTGAGAGAATACAATATGCCAAATTTTCAGCAATTAACATGAAAATTGGCCGCATCAGCATAAAACAGAAAAGTAAACAACATCAGCATGACCTGCCTTGAGCTTCAACGCTCTAGGAAATCAAAGGGCAGGGTGGATTCCAGAAATCCTGTAACAATATACTGTGGCCACTGATCAGATATTAAGACTGCTCTCTCAAATTCAATTTCTTCTGATGTGACAGCAGACGTTTCATGCTTTGAATTAACAGAACCTTCCCTTCCGTTATATACCATTCTGGAAGAATGCCTCATAAGCTAGAATACAAATGTCAAAAGTCAGGGTTATCGACTTGACCCCAGCAAGAATTTTGAATTCCATCCTAAATCTGTGCCAAGCACTCACCCAAGACCCATAACTTAATGTTTTGTGCAAGCAAAAGGACTTTTGGGGCTCCTAAGTTCAAGAATGTGCATGATGACATATCGAGCAATCACAAGAAACGAAAAACTGGAATTATCGGGAATACTGAAACTGAAAGAGTTGTCTTGTTCTTTTTCTTATTTAAGTGTTAACCAATTCCCTCCCTCTCTTTCCCTCCTTCCTCTATCACTGCCCACTCCTGATCATCTCTCCCTCGACCCACATCACATGGAGATGATCAGCAATAATGAAGTTCCGGTGTACTGGGAATTACATTTAAATGACACGTCATCTTGTGCTCTAGCAGAGTTACAATAACAGAACTATGCCTCTATCCTTCCCACAAGTGCAAGCAATCAGTTGACAATATTTTATCGCATCGGATGAACAGTTCGGCAATGCATTAAGCACAAACCAACAAACAAACATTGATTTATATACATTTCAAATAGGTTTTAGAGAATTTCTAAAAGATTAATTTTTCATAATTGAAAGAAGAAGAAGTCCTACATCATTCTCTTAAGCCTCCTTTTGTAAGGTCCAAATTTAATGAAAAAATTGCTATTTATAAGACAAGTTGGTTTAAAGCAAATAAAAATTGAAACATTTGACACACAATTTCTCCAAAATTACTCATTTTCTAATAATTGAACACGACATTATTTGTAGATATTTTTGATGAACACATTTCATTAAGAGAAAAAATGTTTATCATCGTAATTGTAGTTGTAGGAAGGTGCCGAAAAAATTTGCACTTTTGTAATTTTTGAAAAATTTCAGTTTTCAAACAACGAGTCTTGCACCACTCTCAAAGTCCTTCACACTATCCAATAACAAAATTTAATCTCAAATGGAGCCCTCCTTTCTTTATTTTTCTTTCCTTGAGAATGTCCCAGGATACTTCATGGAAAGTATCTTCCAAAATTAAGAGAACGGTTTCAAATTCAAAGGGCCGCGACATCTGGCAGATCGATTAGGAAATATTTTTTTGAAGAAAATTGGCTAAACGGTTACGCCGCTAGCGTTGTTCACGGAGACATTTCGCCATCAATCGATTTTTCTGAATCAAGAACCCACAAAACATGGATTGGATAAATTTATAAATGAACAACTCCAAGTATAAAACCAATTATAAGACAGTATGTGTTGCAATTGCACCACTATTACCGCATTTTCGATTTTGAAGATATTAGGGCAGCACATTTTAAAAACCTTTTTCTTCAACATTTAGAAATTGATTAAACTAGGTTGATTACAGATACTAATTTTACGAAAAAAATTCTGCATTATGTTGGTATAAGATATTGTTAACAAACCTTCACTTGTCAAATCACTGGCAGTAACAGCTTTCTTGCAGTTCTCACCAGAAGACACTTTAGTAGTCTTCTTCTTTTTGAAGGAGACTTTGGTCTGATTTTCATTCATTTTCTTCTCATTTTCACTAAAAAGGAAATACAACAATAATGAGAACAATGTAGCGACAAGCAAAGATAAAAAGAGCAAACATTATCAGAAACAAGATTTTTTCATTTTTTTAAATTACCAATAAAAGGATTATCAAGTATTTATTTAATATTAATTTTCACATAAAATAGTCACATTATCAAACAAGGAGGTTTTTACATGACTAGTCGGGAGGGTTCCCGGACGAGGCCGATAGGCCGTTCCACCGTGTCATGGAAAGACACTTTACCAAGAGATGCACGATATTTTATTTGAGGCCTCAATTTATGGCAATTTGTCCCTGCAATACACAAATTTAATTGACGATCACGAAAACATACTTCCTATTTTTTCGTTGGGATGTTAGTATGTATTTTGTTTTCTAATTCTTGTACTTTCAGCACTAGTACAGAAAGTACTTTCGATACGTTTCCAGGTTGGTGCTAAAAAAATGTGTAACACTCATGCTCAAGTACTATGTGCGTATGCGTCACTTTCTAGTCTCGAATACATATATTTTTTAATTGCCTAGATCTAAAACACAATAATCTGGACACCCTGTGAACAATTTATTTTTATTATTTCTTTGAGAGAGTGAGTTGCAAATCTACTTGCATGTCTGCCAGTATCTAGTTAAGCTATCTGAAGATACACTTTAATAGAAATATAAAGTATTTCAGTAAAACTGTCATTTCCTAAGGTATGTCACAATCTTAAGACTAAATGTCCCCACACTGCAGTACTGACAGCAAATAAGCGACTGACAGTTCCCTCGCCACATGTGGTACACGTGACCTGCTCCGAAGCAATCAACTTGCGAGGATTTGTTTACTTTCTTACAGCCAGGGTTCAGCTCAACTCGCACCAAGTCGAGGAGGCGATAAGGTTCAGCTGTGGAGAAGGTTATGAACATGATACCAAGGCGTGTCATCACCTGTCGGTAAGTGTTAACGTTTTGAAATTGTTTATTTATTTGTAATATAGATAGTGCCATTTTTAGTGGCAATGTGTGGCATCGAACGAAGGTACTTGTGGTTCAATTTGTCGCCACCATGTGACAGCACCAAAATAAGCCATAATTAATTATTAATAACGTTTCCAACAAGTGGCATTTCACTAGATTTTAACATAGAATTTACACTGTGAAGCCCATTAAAAATTGCCAAAACTCATTTCCCAAATTGCTTTCGGAAAGAACCTCAAATATGTGGATAAATAGCGCGGTGATAGTCCGCGTATACATATTATATTTACTCTCTCCAATACTACATCGTACAAACGAAGTTATACTATATACTGCAACGGTAAACTGCGTTTTTTCGGCAGAAAAGTCACATTGTAGGTTCCAGATTCTGAAATAGTTAAATCTTGTTCCTATGTAAATTACTTTCTCGTGTTAACTTACGGGTTAACGTTGTAAATTGTCTGAATAATATTTGTCTACTTGCCAGATAGCGGCTGACAGGGGAAAGGTGGTTCCGTTATCCAATCAGAGGCTTCAAATTCCGATGCCACTGCAGAGTTGCCGTTACTTTTCAAGAAAATGAAATCGAACAGCACGAAGCAACTGGTTTAGTCTGTTTCGATCTATATAGAGAAATACTCGATTTTTAACCTTATTTCAGGGACAAACAACACACATAGATCTCTGTTGTGGTTCTTCATAGTTTTTCGATAATCCTGAATCAGTTTTATTGCAATTTGTCAAGAACGTTTTGAAGATGTTTTATTTGTTGTGCTTACACCCTGATCTGTTAAAATTGGAAGGACTCTTTTCAATGTTTATATATGTATTGTTGACAGTGAATACACACTGCATCGTAAATAAAAAAGGAAAACATCCCAGGAGAGATTGGACGTTTTCCTCTGCCAGTAGCCCCAGGGAGATGAATACCGATGCAGTGAGAGCGAGTTTATACAGTAATTGAAGGAGGGTTCTCTCTTCCATCCAAAGTGTAATTTTTCCTTACCAAAATGAAAGGATTGTGCTTCCCTGCTCTACTCAGGATTTTTTTCTGAAGTATCAGTTTCTTCACTGTCATTTTTTATTTATGTCAAAAACAGTTGAAAACTCCGTGACGAATTACGGGGAGAAGTTAATTTGAAATTATATTTATGTCCAGAAGAAAAACAAGAGGCTATCTCAGCTGGACGAAAACCTGATCGAGTTGGGGCTCATTGACTCAGAAGCTCAAGTAAAACACTTGTTACAGGTTCTTTAGAATTATACAATCCAAATGGCAATACAGTATATGTCGTTAAAACTAATATTGCTTTCCTTTTGGAAGCTTGGTATAGTTTCTAATTGTATAGAAACATTTGTGCAGCAAAAAATATTTTACTTGAGACTTAAAACTTTTGCATCGAATTTAATAGTTTAATGCCATCTGGCAAGGTGTTCTAAGGTAATGTACATGTATGTGATTTTTTTTGTAGTGAGCGGTTTTTACTGCCACCTGATGAATATGATTACTACGTCGAGTGTTGTAGTTATAGACATCAGCGTTTGCTGAAAATATATTCCCGACTTAAGTCATTTTGATAAAGACCACTGATTCATATATCAAGAGGCAAGGTAATAAGATACCTAGATTGATAAAGAGAGGTTTGCAAGAATTCCGTGGGTGGGATTTGCGTATTCGTACAATTATTTTTGTAATCTAAAAGTATGCGAGCTGTAAGATGTATTTTCCCAGAATATTATGCCATATCTCACGCTAGAATGAACATTCGCGAAATATACACAACGAGCAGTATAGAGGCTGACTCAATTTGAAAGAATTCTGAAAGCGTAGCATAAGGAACTTAATTAGGTGTTCAATTCATGTATATGGACGTTCCATGTAATTTCCACGTAATTGTGTTGATATTTTCTTGAAAATATTTAGTTTTTGCCCCAAATGTACGAATTGTAAGGTTTGACTGAATTGAAAGGCCTAAAAATGTTATTACCTTAACATCTGTCAATGGCACACTGTTAATTGTCAATAAGTACAGAATTGTTTATTTGAAATGGAAAATTGCATTGAAACAGTTTTCTTTTCATTTACTTTTAATTTGTTATAACGAAATCAATTTGAAATATCTGATATAGTACTATTTACGGTTTCTTTATTGCAAAGAATGTTCGTATCATCCGCAAAGAGAACTGTTCTTCCGTTTCTAATCGTCGAGGACTTATCGTTTACGTACAGTAGGAAGAGAATAGGGCCTAAAATCGATCCCTGCATGACTCCGCAGAATTAAACAGACCTAATGTTGGAAAAACTAGTAGTGCTACAGAATGCCACAGACTTTCTCGTATTAGTTTTCTATTTTCTTTGGTCTGGTCTAACTACTTTGCCAGCTGCCATCTACCGCCAACCGAAGTATATTTTTTAAAAACTTTTTCTCAATTTTTCAGTTTCCTAAAGTAAACCGAAATAATATTTTAAGAATATTAAAGAAGAGTAAAACCTCGTCCTAATTGGCAATTTTTATTGAAAAATTCGGAGCTGTTTTTAAGAAAATGACGTTCAGACTTTACTGTAAATGCGAAATTTGAAGCTCTTTTTCACAGAAACATTTTGTGTTTTCGAAAAACTTCATTTGAAGTCATTTAAAGCACCTCAATTCAGAAATGCAATAGTGTTTACAAATTGCAATAAATTTACCTATTAACGGCGTGACATACCAAAAAAATCTTTGTGTAATTTTTGAAAAAAAAAAAAAAAACACACACACACACACACAAAAGAATAACTCAAAATCAACTTTATGTCATATTAAACAGAGTATTTGGCACTATCCTTACAAAAAGTTTGGAGTCTTTCGAAAACATACAATATTTCTGTGAAAATGAGCTTTAAATTTAGCATTTTCAGGAACTCTTAAACGCCATTTTCATAAAAAAAAAAAGCTCCAAATTTTTCAACAAAAATTTCATTATATGATAAAGTTTTACTCTTTTTTAATAATTCCTTAAGAAATATTTCGGTTCTACCGTTAGGAAACCGAAAAACTGAGATTTTGTTTAAAGAACTTTGGCCGGCAGACAAAAGAATGGGACAAAAATTTACGTTTGCCCAGACCAACGAAATCAGACAACTAGTACGAGAAAGTCTGTGCCATTTGTAGTATTAGTTATTTCCTCGTATACATACGTACATACGGATGGATGTAAAGTTATAGAGAATGTTATTAAATGCTGCAGAAAATCGATTTTGAGATTTCAAAGGTAATACACGTTTAGGGGTACCCTGATACCGAAAGAGTTTTCATAACGACCGTCCGTCTGCCCGGTGTATGTGATCAACACTAGCGTCTATGATTACGATCTTTTCCAAACTGAATAAACCCCAGTCGATCTGGCCGAAGTCGAAGCTCTGCAATTTTGAAAGAGAGAGGAGAAAAAAAAAAAAAAAAAGGGGGGGGGGACTTAACATGAAGCATTCGGGAATTTTCTCCCGAGCGCAGCTGCGGCAGTGGCTGCGCGGCATAGGGGAGGGGGGCATTGTATTTTGCCAAATTTCACTTTACGACCCGCCTATTCAGCCTATTTGGACTGATAACGGCCTTGGATTCAGGAAGCACTTTACCATCGCGTTATAAGCCCCAAATTTTTTTTAAATTTCTTCCCGGAACTATTAAAAAAAATCCAAAACTCATTTTTCCATTTTTTTTCTTCAAAGGGGCTTCGTAGCGAAAATTCTACATCAAATACAAATCAAATGCCGTTTACCGATTGAAAATCGGACCACTTGTTCAGACGTTTTTAGTAAAGTAATTTGGGCTTATTTTGGTGCTCCTACGTGGTGACAACAAACTGAATTAGTGTCGCCACATTTAGCCTTAATAGAGGCGAAAAACTATTCATTATCAACGAAGTTCCACTTTCTTACGAATAATAATAGTGGGAAGACTTCAATCATGAGGTTTAGTCTTGTACCTAACCATAATTCATTAATATAGGAATTGTGACACTTCTTCACACATTTTAACATGTAATTATCAGAAGGTAAGCAAAGCCTTTAAAACAATAAATCAGGATACAACACCAAAAACAACCACTCATTTACCACAACCATTCGGGTAACCACATGATGGTGGCCACTCATTTTCTGAAACAAATTTCTCTGACTTCTCCCACTGTTCCAAGGACTATTTACTTTCTTTTTTCGTCCTACATTTTTCACTGATAAGATTTTGTATATATTGTATTGTAGATATTGTATTAGTGGAATATTGGAGCAATTTCCCCATGGAAAATCAAGATTCTTCTACAAATTCATTGAAAATTTTCCAGAGTAATTAAATACCCTGTTTGTTTTTTTTTTTAAAGAGTTCACCTTGCACACCAAATGCTGACAGTGTCATCTAAAGCTGACCAGCAAGGATAATTGATAATGAAATAAGTATTCTGATATTTAGGGTGTTTCATCAAGGCAGTAACAGTCCAGAGTCAGCTTGAGCTGACAAGCCTATTTAATTACAATCAAGTGATTTATTTGCAATGTGTTTGATGGACATGTAATTTGCCATGCCTAACTAAGGTTATCCACTGAAATCCATACCAATTTCTTAAGAAACTTCTTTTGGTTCTTTAATCTACAATATGAAATTAGTTTGCTCTTTGGTAGGGTGATTTTGGATGTTAACTAGGAAATAGGAAGAGCTCTGGGTGCTTATAACTTTACTGTAGCCATGAATATGGGGGGGGGGATTGCTCAAGGTTCTCAAAAATGTTGATTGTACCAAAAGAAGACCTCTCAAACTTCAGTTTTTGACTAGTTTTGTACTCTTTATATAATAACAAATAGAAAATGTGATAAATAAGTTTGTCTTGTAGGTACAGAACAAAACATCAATGTGGGGTATCAATCAAAGTTGTATGTCAGCTTTAGGTAACATTTTAATTAATGTGTCCTTTTCACAAATTTAGATGACAGGAAACCACAAAACATTCTACAGCAAACAAAGGGCTCGCTGTTGAAAGCAATAGCCATGAATAGAGGGAGAAATTATAATGTAGAAGCAAAGGAGTTTGGTGTACTGTACATTTTGGTAATACTGACGTCCAAGCTTAAGGAAAAATCCCAAATGACAAAAATTGGACCGCCTACAGTCGTTTCTCCTGTCAATTGGGTACTGCTATTGCAGATGACAGTTCTCCTGGTTCCAAAACTACATTTTTATATTCAGTGAGAAAGTTTGCAATAAAAGAATGCCTGTGAATGAGTCATTTTTCCACAAAAATGGTATAATTTTTAAAATGACATAATACGTTAAAATTTAACAACTTAAGTCAGCAAAAGTAGAAAAAAAAACACATTTTGAAGTAAGAAATTATTTCGAAGAAAATGATCTGTCAACCCTCTATGATCTAGGAAGAGTATTTATCAATGATGAAACTGCTTTCTTTTTAAATTCTAAGGATGGAAGTACTAGCAGAAAGTGTCCAATGTCATTTATCAGGAAGCAGGAAATTATCTATAGGTTCCATAGCTTCTGCCGCATCCCACATTCCAACCAAGACAGCATCCTATCCTGAGCATCTTCCTGATTCAGGTTCCTCTCTGTCATTGCTCTTTTGATTCCCTGAATCTCGGTTGCTCGTTTTCCCTTCTCCATCTAACTGGCTGTTAAAGAAAAATATTTTTCGCTATCCTTTTCTCTCCCATTCTACTTATATGGCAAAACCTTATTAACTGCCTTCAATATGGTGGAAAGTAGTGTATTGGCAGTTCTTTCACTTTTACAGCTTCTATCTTTTCCTGTTTTTCGACCATAATAGCCCAACATGTATGTACCTCTGTATGTAATAGATTTCATGATGACCTCGTACAAGCCATTATCGTTTGTTTAGTGTTCTTATTGATGTTTCTTGAACTCGTGTATATTTTGCTTCTCCCACTTTTGCTGTTTACGAACAGATTCACTATCATAGGCCTTCTCTAGATCAATGAATGTTATGGGCCTCTATATTACTCTCTAATCTTTTTTTGATTAGTTGACTTGGTGAGAATGTATTATGTACACATTATAAGCCATTATAGCCCTAATTAACATATAAAGCCATTCACCTGGCCTTTCTTTCATGTTGATCATTTCCTTCTCAATTCTATTTTTAAGAATCCGGCCATAGAACCTTCCCCATGAGTTTGTTACAGAAATTCCCTAATAGTTATCAGTTTTACTTGTCTCCCTTTTATAGATTGAACTAATATGTGATATCTTCAAATCTTGGGGTATATCTTGACTACCAACATCAATTTGTAGAAGAGGTTTGCTATACTATCCCATAGAATGCTTGATTAATTCACTGGAAAGGTTTCCTGGCCCTGCCCCCCTTTCCCCCCTCTTATTATTCATTCCATATACAGCTTTTTTCACCTTCTTTGGAAAAATAGGCTCTATGTTGCTCGCCCCAAAATTGTCTACCTGATAATTTATTAGTTCGTACTCAGTTCTATTATCTGTAGGCAAATGTGATATTTCCATCCACTAATATTAATAAGTGGAATATTTATTCTTTTGGTTTTATTCCTTCTTAGATCTTTTATAAATTCCCAAGCTTTATTTTGCCTTTTACATCCGTCAACCTATTCACATCTTTTATCCCACAGATCTTGCTTTAGTTTTATAAATGCTTCTTCCCCATGTCCATTTATTCTTACATATTCCTTCGCATCCTCTTGTTTATGGGTTCTTTTACACTTTGGATACAAACATTTATTTTTATTCACTTTATTTGTAATTCCATTTGTTCACCCTTTGGAATTTTGTTTTCCCCCTCATCATTTCTATGATGTATTTTGAAGACTTTTACTTGGTAAAGTCATATCACTGTTTTCATTCAGATCTTTTAACCTATTCACTTAACTTGAACATTTTTCAAGTCGTTTATCTTATAATTTTCTCTCTCTATTGTTGCATTATCTACTGATTCTTGCTTCTGATAATTAGTTTTCTTATAGTTTACAATAATATTAGCTTTTACCACAACATGATCTAATCCATGTTCTGCACGTCTATATACTTTTATGTCTAGCACTCTCAACACTGAATTTTGTCATAATCAACAACAGATTTTAGATGTCACGTGTGTTTTGTATCCGGGTGAACTTATGAATTTCCTTATGGGGAAAGTACTCGCTCAATGTTTCTAGATCATGAGATTCAGAAAGGTCCATCATTCGCTGTCCACGCTCATTACATACCTCCTCCTCTTATCTCCTGACTATCTTTTTCTTTTCTGTTTTAAGTGTCTGGGCATTTAGATCCACCATCAGATATAATTCCTTACATGAGTGTATATCATTTAGAACATTAATGTTTTTAAATGAAAAATACCTTTGATATGACAATCTGTATCGTGTTGGTGCATATACTATTTCAATAATATATTCATTTTTCTTCAGTTCTAATGATATTATTTTGATTACTTCTTTCCAGCAGGAAATGATGAGAGAAAAAAAGATTTCTTGATTATTGGAAATGCTGCTGGAAAGATAGCAACACCAATGGCAATTTATCGATACTCTTGCATACCAGTTGGAATAGCCAGTGGCATTCCTAACGATTAGGCTATTGGGTGTTCTGAAACCAGATGGATGAATCATGAATTATTTTAAATGGAATATTCAGCAAATATATTTCACCTTTGGCCACTTCAAAACAATACTGCTATGCCAGTAGTTGTATTTAGATAGATACACTAACTCAATCTCATTTCAACTCTTAGTTTCATTCAGAAAACAGGATTGAGCTTGTGGATTGTATCCCAATTTTGACCATCTAACTCAACCTATGGATGTAAAAATATTTTGAGACAGAGGGTTCAAGTGTGGAAGATGGAAAACAGTGTTATTAAGAGTAAAGACTGCAAAAAATCTAAAACATGTTTTGCATAATAAATTTCAATCACACAATAATAAACTATCCATTCTGTATAATATTACATTTAATCATAATTATTAAAAATAATAATTTACTAAATTTAATTCGGGGTTTTTGTTCTTGACATCTTTAGATTTCTCACATTAGCTTTCACAACCAGTAACAATTGAGGCATCCTGTGAGTGAGGGAGCTAACCCACAAAATTCAAAATATTGATTTATGAACATATTTGATTATGACCACATTGAATGTGTCAATAAATTGATGTTTTTCATTTTGTGTGTTAGCCCCTTCTCACATCGGATGCCTCAATTGCCCAGTCAGGTTAAGGCGACTAAACACAGTATTAATTTCTCTTTTCTTAAGATATATATCTTCAAAAAATAAATTATAATATATGAGAACATTTAAATTCATCATGGATCCAACAAAATATCAAAAGAAGGTTTTTGAAAATATTTTGACTACATTAGCCAGTTGAAAGTAATTTAACCAGTCAGCTTTTGCTGCCATTACCATACTCCAAACGTAAAAAAAAAATAATTAATTCCACAAGCATTCTTTGTAATTTCACCCTCATTTAACTATAATCACACTTCACATCGAGCATCTTGACATAAATCTCAAAACAGAAAAAATCTTCACACTTCATCGAGACCTATTAGCAAAACTTCCCACCACCACTCTGACTACATAAGTTTTTTACTCTGCATTTTTAGACAAGCAAATGAAATAACACCATACCTTTGAATTCAAAACATTTTATATCCTGATAATGAAAAAAAAACAAGATCAATATATAAATCTGACAGTATCGCACAACAATGAGGTACAGATTTGGAAGGTTCCTAAATATTTTTGACAATAAATGAAAAAAAACTTTTTAATTTAAATCTGATGTTTTAAATTGAAACCAGATTTAAACCCCAAACATGATGCATCCTTAAATCAATACTAGTTTTAATCTTCTTGGTTAGTATTACTCTTAATAAATCTACTCCCAATAAACGTTTTAAAATACACTTACTCATAGTTATTTTTAAAACATTTAGCATAGCTTGAATTTCTAGTTGTTACTTAGCTTTAAAGTAAATCAGTAACTCTATATGAAAAAAAAAGAATGTTGTTGTTTATCGTCTCAATAATCTAAGATAAGAACTAAAATTTACATTTTACAAAGTTGTAATTACAGTTAACACGTCTACGCCTGAATCATTGGGGCCCTTACGTTTTCTTCAGCCTTGTACAGGTTTACCGTTTCTTCAGGTTTGCAATAAAACTGTCAATTCACAAAACAAGATCATTCAAAAATGGCATAAGTTTTATGAGTAGTTTACCTAATCCAGAAACTACATTTCAAAGAAACAAAAAGGTCTCTGGAGAAACAAAGAAAACGCAGATACTCAACATGAAGTTTCATGAACCAAAGAACTCCATAAGAAGTAAAAGAAATATTATTTTCTTTAATATTTGTAGGAATAGATTAATTTATCTGTTGATTTAGGTTTCAGCTATTTCAATAGGTACAGGTGAATATTGTGGCAACCATCTAAAGAAATTTCTTTTAACTACTCATTCTTGATTTTTGACTTAGTTTTTAAGGTGTCATACACACGAGTTTTCCCAACTTTATATTCCTTTATCAAAACCTTGACAGAAGTGTTGTTTTGTTTCTGTTCTTCAATTTGTCTAATTTTCTCATTAAGAGTTAATGTTTTCAATTTCCTGACTGACATCATAAAACCTTGATTAACACAACACTTGCAACTCGTCAAATTAAACAATAATAAACATTTAGAACCTCTGAACCCAAAGCACACATTACAAGAACTTTGTATGCATGTATTAGTTTCTTTAAAAGACAATCTCTGCCATCATTTATCACAAAATCGGCCGCAGTGTCAATGACACCGTTAGCCATCACAGGAACTTTAGATTACATATTACTTACAATGTTCAACATTACAATATATGAGCAAAGAAATCAAATAGGCTACTCAGGAAATTTGAGGTGTACATTTGTTGCACCTCATAAATATTATTTGAAGAAAGTATCATTAAAATGATATTAAAATCAATGAAATCAGAAAAAAAAATGCATTGAAAATGACGAAAAAAGGTACAAAATTTCTTCTTAGTAAAAAAAAAAAACAACCAAAAAACAAAAAAAAGAACAAAAAAAAAAAAAACAACAACAACAACAACAAAACGGGTAATTTAGTTTAGACATAACATAAAATGAATTTCTATACTGAACGGCATTGTTTTAAAGTGAAAAGAAAAAAGATGACATTTCATTAACATCTACTCCCTAATGATGAGTTTTCAAATCATAATAATTCCCTGAGTTTTGAGAATCAATAGACATATCTTAACTTCATAAAGACTTATGTTTCCACTGCAAATACTCTTAAGTACTACTGCATAAAAACTGTTTTACAGTTTTGGAGTCGTGGAGAAAGTTTTTAAAAACTGTACTAAAGAAAGACAACATTCATTTAGAATGTAGAACATATAAATATGAGAAGTGTGCAAGAAAAAAATTGGGAGTATAGCCCCCTCATATGCATACTAGCTAGCTATGGCTTACATTAGTAGACATGGCAAAGCGATAACACTTCTTCTGGGGAGGAAAATAATTCACCCCCCATGGAAGCCTCATTTGGGAACTGGAAAGGCTGACAAGCTTGGGTTTTTATATGAAAATATCAATCCTAAGAAATCTGTTTAAGTTGATAATTGTTGTGTTGATCTTCAAATAGTTATTGTTGAAATTATAATTGTTCTAATATATTTTGAAGCTACACGTTTTTATTATTTGAATAAATTTCATTATTATCAGTCTTTGAAACAATTATAACAAATGTTTATTTTAACAACTTGTTAAAATTACTTTTAAATCAGGGGGGAAAAAAGATTGAAATCATACATTTATAAAAATCAAAACCCTAGTGAAATATACATACTTAACTATTTAGTTTTGTTTGTATGACATTTCGTGAAAAAAGTATAACCATGTAATATAAATCTTCAGATATACAGAAATTTTTCAATCTAAAATATCAAAATTAATAAAAGCAAAAGGCAGACAATCATATCAGACTGTAAGAAAGACAAAGATTGAGAAATCATAAGTACAACACAGCAGTCACAAGCAATTAGAGTTCAGCACAAGTTTGTGGACATGTTTTAATCACAAAACATTAAACAAATGTAACAAGACAGTTTAATATATACTTTTCACCTACATTGATTAACCAAAATTATTGGAGACCTTTTCAAATCTACAATCATAATAACAGAAACCCCTCCCCCCACTGTTTTTTATAATAGAAAACCGGCTTATTCTACAAAGAATAGGAATCTTCACCACTAGAAATTCAAAATACTCACATTGTACTTTTATTTTTATCACCTCCAATAGCAATTCTACCTGGTCCCACAAGGTTCTCCTTGTCAGTGGCAGCATGTTGTAGAACATGAAGAGACATCCGAACATTTTTCGATGACTCCTATGACAACTTCAAATTAACTGCGATAGAAATAATAAGAACATTTCACATACAAATCAAATCGACAAACACGTACCTCACGTTCGCAACTATTCGAGGTTCCTTGCGGATTATGCCTCATGTCTGCTGATTTCGCCAAGGATCACACGTACCTAACGCAATCCGCAAATTTTAGTAGAGCAATACAACGCAAGCTTAATAGTAATGACGAGGAAAAGCTTAGAAGAGACGGATGGGAAGATTTGACTTCAAATAATTCGAATCGGAATATCGATAGGTGACGACGAATCCCCCTCGATCGTCCTGTATCGACTTTCGACATTCCTATGATGCAATCCTTGTCTTTACATCATGGACAATCCGTCCAAATGAATCGGTTCATCTAATACCTTCCCATTTCTGGCACGGTGTAAGGAACTCTGAATTTTCTCACATACAACTAGATATCTATAAATTTATATAAATATATCTATATGTAATAATAAACTGAAATGCGCACGGTTTTTAGAGTATTTATTTATAGATAATTTCCTTTACTTGCACCACTCTGTATGATAACGAGTGCAGGTTATCCCACAAAGTTCGCGCACGCATGTGTATTTTGGCTCGTTGAAGGTCTTCCTTCTTTCTATATATCGTAATTACTAGTAACAGAGAAGTTCCCAATGACGTCACAGCATTGGCGGGAAAGTGTTGGGTGGCAATAACCACAATAACCAGCTTCAATATAGTTTTAGCGCTCTCGGTGGAGGCTTGCCGAGGCATGGTGGCCGCCATGATTTTTGAAGTCAAAACCATGGTGTGAGATATATTCCTTAAACCTGGATGGTGGCTTCAAAATGGAGGTGCTTTAGCTATTCTATGTAGTATTATATTCTAGCTCGTTGGGTGGCAAGCTCTGGTGTGCCTGTAATCGTTTTTTTAGAACATTAGTAAGCTATTAGTTGTTTTATGCGGTAGCCGAGGTTAGGTTTGTGTTTCTTATCACGTTTGTCTTCTACAATGATATTGCTTCCTTTCCGTTTGTTTCGATTCTGGCTGCACATCTCGGCGACAAATTAGATTTAAAGACTCACTATTCTATCAGACATGTATCAAGTCACCTTTTTATTTCGAAAATGGTTCGGAGTAAATATTGTCATGATCTTGGAACACACCGTATCCCAGACGTTTAGACTACAAAAAAGAATTCCAAATAAAACCATCCCACGTGACTCTTGTAAGCCTCTCTTTAGCTACCATTACTTTAAAGCTAACCTGCCTCTTGATTTACGAATCAGTGGTTTTTGTAAAACAGTAATTTTTTGTCGCGATTCCTCTAAATGAGTCCTTAAAAACGAGTTACATGTTACAGTACTTTTTTTTTATTTCTAGTTTATTGCTTATAAAAAATAAACTTGTATCTTTTTCATGAGTTAAGAATTCATAATAATGACAAAAGGGCACGCAATAGCGCATTAGTTACTTAGTACTTATTTGACCTCGTTTCACACGCTTATTATTACTAAATTCTGTGTTTTGTCCAATTTTCGGCAGGATGTTTTATGGTACCTTAGAGATGTTTTTTTAACATAGTTAGCACACGCATTCACTGTCAGCATCATGGAAGTATTCCCTCTTGCACAGATGGTAGTGATAGCCATAAATTGCCAGTGTAGTGTAGACATAACGCATTTCTTGATTGGGTTCCATCCAGCTTCTGAGTATCGTGAGATTCGAGGAATATAATTCTTACGTCTCTTAGGTTTACCTTTTGTGTCCTCCGCGATATCGCAGCCCTATATGCCTCGGTGTCTGGTAGAGAGAAAGGTCTTCTATTAGGAAGGTTTTTTGATCAGGGCATATACTCGTATTAATCTAGAGGGAGTGTATTATGAAACATGCTGTTTTTTTTCAGATAGATGATCTTGATTGCTTCAATGATGAATGATCTGCAGATCCTTTTTTCTTTTAGATTTGGGCGTATTTCTTCAATTTCGTATGTTATTATCGGAAGGATTTTCGGGTAATAGTCGCAATGCGGTTTTGATGGATAGGTTCTGAATGTTTTTGATTTTATTTATTGCGATCACTACTGCAGCAGTCCTCTCTTTAACAATCCGGTTGTCTGTAGTGTAATGCCGAGATATTTGTACATATCGACAATTTTTAGTTCATCACTTCCCATTGATATGGTTTCATTTCCGGCTATTTTGCCTCCTTTTCGAAACACTATCAAAACAGTTTTCTCACTCTCAGATCGTTCTCCGTTGTCCCCTTACACAGTGAGTTCATGGCTTCTTGCAGGTTATCGATATTATTTGATGTAAATGTCATATCAACTGCACATAGGTAAGTGAGACTCTATCGATGTTCTCAATAATGCTGCCAACATCTATGAGAGCAATATTGAAGAATAGTGGGCTCAGGCAGTCTTCTTACAGGACGCCGTTAGTCTGTGTGATTTCTATTGATGTTGCAACACTGACGTCGATAGTAATGTAGTTAAGGTGGAGGATATCTTTGATTTGATTTATTTAGTCAAAAAACAGTAAAATATGTATGTGACGTAGACCTTGCATGGGGCGAGGTGTGGCTTTATGAGTTAATAATTGTAATTACTCTCGATTTTCTGTAGCAAGAGTTAATGGTACTGCATGATTTGTTTGTGATCAGACAGGTGTATTTCCACTGAAATCTCGAAATCGATCTTTCGCAGCATTATATAACTTTCCCTATACTACGAGTATTACTCCGTATATACATACGTACGTATACGGGAAAGTAAAAATGATTTACTCAAGCGTGGGAGCATAGTTTTACCTAATACCAATGTCTGTAATTATAACACTCGATGTAGTAATCATATTTGTCAAGAGTCGATATACCTATCAACAGCCCATTGCAAAATGTTCAAATGCAATACATATTAATCATTTAAACATTTTTTTAGTTTCTTGTGCTCAATTCAAATTTGTATGGTATTATTTCCTTCTCCTTCCGTTAGCACTACAACCCATTGTCCATTGTGGATATAGGCTTTCGGGCCTATATCGTTCCAATATTTTCCTGATTTGATTTGATCTATTTAGGCAAAGAATAGTAAACGTTGTATTGCCGTATGGGGAGAAGTTCCATCTGCGCACGTTTTCTTAAGCTCCAGTTTCTTCCCAACATTTTACCTATACATAGTTGGAAGATGAATAAAAGTTAAATAATAATAATTACAACAACGTTTAAAACCATCTCATATCCCTGAAAACGGTAGTCCTGTTTAAAATTCATCTGGCAATGAATCACACGATATTGACATGATGCGAAATCTCCTTCAACGCGAGATAGAACGAGTTCTTCTTATTTCCATTCGAATCTCTGGCACCGTGGAAAAGAATATACGAAAATGATAAAGCTAAGAGTGACAGAGATAACAAATAATGTGAAATGAGGTGGTACAGATCCCAAGTAGAGATCTAGATGTTCCTGAAATCAATCATCGTGTATGCAAGTGGATCTCGGGTATATCAGATAATTTTGAAGCCAACCAAGAACCAGACAGCCAGACAGGGTAAACCGCTCCATACCATAGAACAACTCCATGTCCGTAATGTCGGATAATGTTAGCAGGAAGGCATGGCCGTCTGTAGTAGGATACTAGAATCGGCTGTGAGGAAGGACATGTTAAACCGATATAACGTAGCGGGTGGTGGAAGTAGTATTACCCGTGAAAGGAACATTCAGAGCGGAATTGACTGGTTGAGATAAACGGCAGGTGTTTGCAGAACGGCCATGACATGACACAAATGGCGTGCTGGAGAGACGGGCGAAACATATTAGATTTATTTAGTCAAAAAACAGTAGAAACTGTATGTGACGTATGGGGGAGAAGATAATCTGCGCACGTTTTCTTGAGTTCCAGAATCCCTCCCCATCATTTTAAGTAGAAATAGTTGAAAGATGAGTAAAAGTTAAAGATAAATAAATAAGTAAAATTAAAAAAGCGCGAGATTAACGACATTTAAAAAAATAGACATTTTCGTTCCCGACTTATAGAAAACTTATTAGCAACGGTAAATGAACTGCAGAATTTATTTTCTGCATTGCTAACAAAATAGTAATTTGCCCTTACCTCTACTCTTACCATTACAAACAAAAGAGTTCAAAACGTTTGCATACTGAAGCTACATTTACGTTCAGAAGCAAAACAAGGGTCATCTCAGCATTTTCTCAATGTATTAGGGAAACTGGACAAAAAAGTGATCGAAATAGGGGACATTGATCCGGAAGCGGAAGTACATTGTTTGTTACAAACATAATAAGTCTTTCAAAAAAGTATACAATACAAATTTAACTAATTCAATATATCACTGTTTTGTTAAATTAACACTATTTTTCTTTTTGATAATCAGTATAGTCTCTAAATGTATAGAAACTGTTATGCAGCAGAAAAGATTTTACATTTCACTTAATTTTGTGTACTGACTTCAAATGTTTAATGTCATCTGGCAATGCGTTGTAAAGTAACGTAAATGTATTGTATGTGGATTTCTGGAAGTGAGCTGTTGATACCGACACTTGATGAATGTTATTTCTACGACGTGTGTTGTAATAATCAATATCAGTATTGCATGCAAATATGTCCCCACATAAGTCAGTTTTGACAAATATTACAGATTCGTAAATAAATAGGCAAGGCAATGGTAAGATTCGAAGCTCAATGAAGAGATGCTTGCAGGGATCACATGGATGGTATTATTTCATTATTCGAATAATTTTCTTTTTCAGTCTGAAGATTTGGGTACTACACAATGTGTTTCCCCAGAATAGTATGTCGTATCTCAGGCGGGAATGCACGTTTGCAAAATACACGCAACGCACAGCATGAAGGCTGAGAAAGTTTGAAAGAATTCTGAATGCGTAACAGAATGAACTTAATCTAGTGTGTAATTTTGTTATATATACATTCCATTTGTGGTTTTATTGAATTGAGAGACCTAGAAATTTTGTTATCTTAACATCAGCTAATTGCATATTGTTCATTTTCAATAGAGCATACGATTGCTGATTTGAAATGCAAACATGCATTGAAACTGTTTTGCCTTCGTTAACTATTAATTTGTTATTACAAAACCAATTTGAATCTTCTGAAATCGTACTATTTATTGTTTGTTTTTTTCCCAAAACATTCGTGTCATCGACAAAACAGAACTGTTCTTCCGTTTTTAATAGACGATGGCATATCGTTTACGCATAACAGAAAGAGGGTAGGGTCTAAGTTCGAACCTTGCGGGACCTCATATTCTATTGGTAAAGAATTGGAAAGATAAGTAAATACTGTCCTTTCGTGCCAGAAAGGTATTTCTACTCTTTGGGATCTATATTTAAGGTACGAGGTTATCCAATGTAGAGTGATTCCACGAATTCCATAAGAAGGTAATTTTGATGACAAGTTATGTTCAATAAAGTCAAAAGCTTTCGAAAGATCCAATGTGTGCTTCGTTTTGGTCTATTGATGAAGCAACATCTTTAATAAAAGGGAAAAAATGGCAGTTTATGAAGATTTTGTTTTTTTTATTCCCGTACAGTAAAGTCTCTTTAATATTTTTGAGAAATTTTACAAAAGAGAAATTGGCCGATAATTATGAATTTCATTTTCGTCCTCTTTTTTAAAAAGAGGTTTAATTTTTGCTGTTTTGAAAATATCTGGAAATATTTTTATGTATAAAGAAGCATTGAAAATGTGAGTTGACGGGCGTATAATGACAGGTACACAAGTTTTCAGTAAAAAATCCGAAAATTCATCTAAGTTAGATGAATATTAATTTTTTAGTTTACTGACTATTCTCAGCATTGCGTTAGAAAATGTTTCGGAACTAATAATAGTGTCGATCATTTTTGAGAAAGAAATGATGTAGAATTTTGTAGCTTTAGTCTCTTCGTGAGTTCAGCCGCAATTCTAGAAAAGAGTTGGTTGAAGCGGTTTGCTACCTTTTCCGGATTACTTGCTTCTCTGACACCTTGATGCCAACACTATGTCCTGACCCCTGCTATTTTGTTTCCATTCGTGGATGTGAAGGGATGCCCACTTCGACCTTCATACTCTGCCGTTTTTCACTGAACATACAGCACCAACGACCAACCATTTGTCGAGACATGGCCTCTTCGCCTCATATGGCCTGTAAGTGTTCATGGAGGGAGAACACAGGAGCCTCATGTGTCCAAAAAAACAAAGAGGTCAAATTTTATTTAGATTAGCCCTGGTATAACATAAACTCTTTTACGAAAACGAACATTTTCAAAAACAATCTTTAATTCTATTAGACGTAGCTGGTATTTGTTCTAATCCAAACATCCTATCAAAAGATGAGGTTATTTATTTGAAATAGCTAGAATCTACTTTATCGCCTGAACAAAAATATAATCCCAAATATTGGAATTCTTGTACCAGTTGTTAACTATTAATCATTTTATACTATGGAATATAAGACGACTATGATAAAAAAAAATCCTATCTCCGTGTTCTCATTTCGTGATTTACAAATATTCGAATTCCATGAAATTACTACAAAAAAGAATTTTGAAATTAATGACTAATAATTACAATATGATATGCCTTACTTTGTTTTTATTGTATCCCAAAACGAATAGACACAATTACTAAGAAAAAATATTCTAGTGAATTTGACCATTGTAGTCATGAAAATATATGCCTAAAACCGGCTGAAATGAATAATTTTGATCAGAATTTTGGAATATATTCCCACCAATATTTATACAAAAGCACACATACAGAATTTACTAGCAATAAAACATTAGAATAGCTATATACCCTCCCTTCTTTTTATTGAATAACCCAGAAGCGTGGTTTTTACAACTCTGCCCCTCAAGGCCTTACTTCACGGTGGCTTTATGTCACTGTTTTTCGTTTCTCTTGTGCCGCTAGATGTCGCATGATCGCGACCGTATAGCAGTGCTGGATAAAATCCGCAATTTGCACAAAATACATCCATAAAATTAAGTGCTACATTTCATAATGCAGTTACTGAAAATACTATAAGATACAATGTATGGTAAAAAAAGTAACATTTTGGACCTCCTATTTGTATTGAATGTATAATTTCTCCAATTGCTATTGATTTCAATATATTGTAGGAATTTTGAAGCACATGCAATAACACTATACTATCTATAAGGTGAGTATATAAAAATTCCAATTGTATCGTTTATATTTCATACAATATTTTTAGAGATGTTAGATTGCGCGGTCTTCAATGTCTCGCGTAAGATAGTTTGATAAAGCTGTGGCCTGCAAAAGTTTCACTCATACACAGCAGTTACGGTTGTAAAAATACGATTCATACTAACAATTTGTCATTGATTTAATTTTTTTTGAAATTCATTTTGATGAAACGTTGTTCATTTTAAGTATCTATTCCTATTATTTAATAAAAGAAAATTGACCTTAAAACTTACCTCTTGTAGTAAAAATTTGCTCACCATCTTGATTCACAATATTCTCATACCATCATACAATAAAACACCATCTTGAAATCTTGGGCAAAATTAATGAAATTGAAAATTGCTTTCTTTTCGATCTTGAGAATCTGGTCTGGATGTACCTATCAACCTCAAGACGCGAAAAAAATTTGCAAAAATTAGATTAAAAAAAAAAGTTATATCTACAAATCTTGTCTCTAAGCAGGCCCGTTTTCCATACTACTTACCGTAGTTGATTCGCAATGTACTATTAATTTAATATCACTAGCGGACCATCTGCGATTACACCGCACACAAGTAATAACTAGAAAAGTTGCACCCGTAAGTACTACATATGCACTATTTAGAAAGTAGAAAACAAAATATAGTTTCAGGCTTTCATTCCTCAAAACAGATGATATGAGGGAGGTTTTGACACTCTCGCACAAAGCAATCACTATTCTTTTTGAACACGAGTTGAGTTTAACATGTTTCTGAAAATGTGATTGAAATATGTACTGGGCAATATTTGCACATATTGTAGTGGACTATTGTTCGATATTCTACTATTCAGCTTAACTTAAAAAATATAATGACTTACGTATAATTATCACTGTTTTTTAAATTAACATATTTCACATGAATGTTAAACTTTAATCATATACATTCTATTATAATGTTTTGCAATGTGCGTAATCGTTCCACGTGTTCAGTCAGCTTATCATTCCTCAGCACTTCGAAATTTGGATTCATGGGTTCTGTATAGTGTCATGTTAACTGGTGGAATTTCATAAGAATCCGTGTATAGCACAGTGAGTGTTTTAGGGGGGGGGGAGGAGACCTGTCGCTTAGCGAAGCCACTTCAACACTTTCAAACGTTTCTTTGTCGTTTCTAAAATAGTTCAGGTCATAACCAATCTTATTCCAATTTTTTCCTCCTTAAAAAGGGAAAATATTAGTAATTTTTTTCAAGACGGCAAAGTATGAAGAACAAGTAGCTGACATCACTCGTCATACATTTAAAATACAAATGACTTATCAAAAACAGAAATGCTTATTGAGGCATCACACGAGCGTTACGTTGACGCGCGTCACGCAACGCTGACAGCGACCCATTTACTGAAGGCGCTCGGCGACTCGCAAGTAACCTGTCCACACTACTCGGGATTCGCGTAATACCGCATGTGTGGAGCCGCCTTTATGCGAAAGCTCTTGGCGACGTGCATTGTACCACTGCTCAAGCAAAATGCTTAGCCAACAGCAAACAAGATAATGCGCGACGCCCGCTGGCAACAACGCACGTTGCCAAGAGAGCTCGTATGCCATTTCCCATAAGATAGTGTAGATCTTCGAAGCGCATCAAGTGGCTAGTGTGCGCATGCATTGACGCGCGTCAACGCAGTTGACGTCATCAACTTTGGGTGACGCATCTCAACTCGTGTGATTCAGGTCTAAACTTATGTAAATGTAATTACAATAAGTTTTAAATGGTCAATATCTAAAATTTCAACTACAGTAAGTTTGTAATTATCCATGGAGGCAAATCAAAATTCAAATTAATTTTTTGTGCAATATATTTTGCATATTAAAAAGTACTAATCAATGAAGTAATCATCATTACTAGTTATGTCAACTTAACCTTTCAGTTATCCACTGAAGCTCTCTGCCTTCAGTTAATACTATCGATTTTTCTACCTTAGCCCCTTGACTCTAGCCTCCACTCCGTAACTCTGCTGAGGCTAGTGCGCCCATTGTGGCTGAGAACTTACTTCTACCCCTTGTGTTTCATAAGCATGTGGCAGTGCTTGAACCATTTTACAAGCAGGGAGGTTTGATGGTGACCAGATGGCACTCACAGTCCATTATGAAGCTCACTCCACCTTGCAAGTAGGCAGTTACATTCATCATTCAAGGTAGGAGAGGCAGTCTCATTCATACACCATTCCGGATAGGAGAGGTCTGGGACGGAATGGGGTATTGATGACTGGGATAATCCCTGCCCCATGTCATATTATTAATGTGAACATCCATGTCCAATGCAGGATTCAAACAAGCAAACTTCGCAGTTTACGGTTGCTGCCAAAACCACTTTGCTACAGGACCCATTACTAATCAATGAAGTATTCTTCAGATTTTGGGATTGTGCATCAGAACAGAAGACCTGTTGGAGATGGGGCTGATGGTGCTCTACTATAAGACATTCATGAGGGCTACAAACACATTGAACTAATCATTTTTGTAAATTATCCCCACCCCAAAACTCATTTTGTTTTAAAATCACATATAAAAGTTTACATTCATCCATACATTCTACTTTAATTAAAAATCATTAATATTAAAAATATAACATCATTTTCACATGGAGCTCTTCAAAAAAATATCCAGCTGGATTCACACCAACATCAGTGATAATTTTTCTTATATGACTTTGAAACACACATACATAATATTTCCCTGATTTTCTTAACATTAACATATATGATAATTTTACATAAATACTGTTCTTTTCTTATTAAAGTATACATGTCACACACTTTATTCATTTAACGTTTCACAATAGAGTATGTACACTATTGTTCAAGCACTTAGCAAGAGATGCTCTTGCAAGAAGTAACTGTGCCCCAAGGAATGAAAAGAGCATAAAACAACACAATAAGAAACTAGTTTTTACCAAAATTCTTTGACTCTTGGTACAATACCAGTCAATATGCTACAAGTGAAAATGTCCTAAACAAAAAGTGATAATTGACAATAGTTACATCAATGACATTTTCAAACCCACCAAAATATAAATTAAAAGACATGCCAAATCATTAACATAAAAAAATAATGAAATGAGATATTTTTCAAATAATCTTTTAACACAGCTTTAAAAATCCTCCACATTGAATTTCTCACAGCAAGGTAGAAGATAATGAATTTCAATTGTATATCTATTTCTCAAGAATTATAAAAATGATAAAAAGAATAAGGTCATTTTTCTACTAAAATGACATTCATTTAGTTGTCTTGCACTGTTTTGAATCACTTCACCCTCTTCTGCTGTCGAGCACGATAAATGTCGTTCACCGGGGGAGCACCTGCCAATTCTTCGTCTTCACTATCGTCACCGATTCGATCACCAACTTTGCGGCGCCGTTTCAAGGAATTCATACCCGCTGGTATTGTCAAGGTTCCTTCCTGACCTTCCTCCACGATCCAATGGACAGACTTTGCTAAGTCAAACAGTTTTGTGTCACATCCATTGTCAGCTACTGGCAGAGGAGCTGTAGGAACAAAACGAGTGTAAATGCAGAGTTACGAGATATGAAAACATACATTTCATGCATAGGGCGTCTTTATTTCTTGTTGAACTCTAGAAAATCGGCTTTCAGTTATTTAAACCCAAAGTTATGATAAATCCTTATAATAGTGCATTTGAAATGCACACACAATATGCGGACTTGTGAACAGCAACTTACGTGTTTCTGGCAGTTGAATTTTGTTGAAGACGTCAATGAGCATGTCCACGGCCACAAAAGGTCCCCTGAAGCAGCCTGGGGGAGGGAGTAAGGTGCAGAGCTGTGCTGCTGCTGGGGGCTGCGGAAAAACTCCACCTGCAAGCAACGACACACATCAATCCTTGACAATTTAATTCACAAATAAATATGGCTGCTTGAACTCATCATTTGTAATGTTCGTAGTTAGAAGGATGAGAATGAATAAAATGTACATATTCAGATATTGATCATGCAATTTGCGTTGGTCCTACAAATTTGAAACATAATATGTATTTTATTTTGAAGTGGCCCTAATATGAAGCCATTAATGCATTTTTCCAACTTTTGTCAATAACTGCTTGAGGTTTTAAAACAAAAACGTTTTGCAGACGCCACAAATTGCACTTAATAATAAGACAAATCTTTGAATAGGCATACATATGTATAGATAGGTAATAGGCGTAGAAGCAATGCAATTAAACCTATTGAATCAATAAATTCTTGGTCACTGCCCTGAGGAAGCCTGCGATATGTCAGGCGAAACGTCAGCCTCTCAGCCAACGACGCGGCGTCTCCCAGATAGCCAAGAATTTATGAAATCGAGCCGCGGAAGCTTACATGTGCACCTATTGAATCAAGTTGGAAACTTATGAGTATTTATTGCAAGACTAAACAGCGTTAATCAGTGTTTTATCTAGCCACCTCCCCATCGGAAAAGTTTAGAAATCCACACCTCATGGGGTGCAGCACTTGGCATGAAGCTAAAAAAAACAAACGGATTTAGAAATATGAATGCAAATATATTCTGAAATCTTTATATTTACTACTGCTGAAACCTATTATTTATAGTTCTTTGTTTTATTTATAATAATAATAATAATATTTTCGGTGTTACTTTCTCCTTGACGTAAAACATATTCCCTGCAGTGCAACATGGCATTTAATACATGTTTTTATTTCAGTTCATTCACACATTGTGGATCTGTCTGTCCATCCATCTGGTGTCTGTGAACACTACTAGCGCCTAAACGGTGCGCGGGATTTTTTTTCCAAATTGAAGAAACCCCTGTCTATATATATATATATATATATATATGGACACATTTTCTTGCATTATTTGTAACTTTGGCATTTTTCGAAAATTCAGAGTGTTTGACGTAAATGGTACCTGTGTTATTTTTATACATTCTTACAAAACTCCTTTACTGTGTAAGTATGTTGTAAGGTGAGAAAGTAAAATTCTTGAGCATTTTGGAAAATAACGAGTGTAATAAATAAATAAATAATTTTCAAAATAACGTTCAACATTGTACATGCAAAGATATAATTGGATGAAATTTTTGAAAAGGATTGCCTTTAATACTTGAAATTTTAACAAAAAATCTTACCTGGAACAGGATGGTCTCCCGGAATAGAATTCGCTTTGGGTTTGAATGGAATCATTTGAGTGAAGTCTGGCCTGGGCATGCATGTGTTTTCTTCATCATGATCCAAAATGCCTGCAGGTAATGAATGATGGAGTGTTTTCATGACAGCACTCGCTACTTCATTGTAGCCAATAGCCTTCAATTCTCCCGCAGAACAAGGATATAAATCCAGGAACTTGTACCGGTCAACTAGCTGTGCTGTTTCTTTGCCTTCAAATTCCTTTATCTGAACAGACAAAACATTTAGTTTTCGCAGAGAAACAATGACATTTGTAAAGCACAAAGATGAATAGAGACTCCAGATTCTAAAATTAAAAATATGTTTGTACGCATGGAGGCAACACACTGGGAAAAATGTATTGAAGTTAAAAAGCAATAAAATTCATTCAAAACATAGATCAGAAGTAATCAATATAATGCATTAAAGTACATTACACCAGGGTTTAAAATACTACAAATATTCCTAATTGTTTACAATACAAAAATTATAACTACATCAATACGTCTAAAGTGATAATTTGTTAATGAAATTTAAAGTACCTTTTCAAACAAGTGCACTCACCTGTCCTAAAACTGCACTTCTCCTCTTTTCCACTTTCACTATGCTCGCTAGGTCCCCAATATTAGATTCAAATTCGAGAAATCTATTCCATATTTCCCTGAAATAATGAACAAAATAAATAACATATAAATGATATTAAAGAAATTTCACGAAATTGTGTAATGTACAGGTTCTATGCAACATTCTTCTGGGAAAAATGAAATGCACAGAAATAGGTAACAAACTGACTACTATGCTACTCTCTGGGCTGTTGAATTTAGGTAATATTTTTTAGCCACCTTGCCACTAAGTTATGAGCCTGTGTTTATGATCTTTAACATGTTTCAGTGGTAGAAATACTCGTGATATATTTGAGTTTCACACACATATTTTAAAGAGTTCTGAAATAATTTAAGTGAAGTATATTAGTTCATATAGTTAATCACTTCGAGAGTCATTGCTGGTTTCTGCTTTCCAAGTCAAGTTTCAAAGAACTTGGAATCCTTCATACAAATGAAATATTTTCAAGGAAAATAACGTATTCTGCTGCTGCGGCGCCCAATCACTTTGTGATTGAAACAGGAAGAAAACCTGAAATCTGAATTGGAAACCCAGAATTTTGTTTATCACTGATTCGGATTCTATAATGGAATGTGCCTCTTTATGTAGAAAGAAACCCTTTGGATCTCGACTCACTGCATTAATCTTAAGGTCGGCCTCAATTTCATGAAAACACTTATTCGCAGATTCATTGAACAAAGGATCATTACAAGCCACGGTTATGTAAGTTTTGCCCCTTCGGTTTGAACCGTCCGGGCATCAAGAGACCACACGACCGAAACCAACATAGCCTTTACAGTTTATCATTTACACTCTACAGAGGCGGTGCTGTCGAAATCCGCTGCTTCCAACTTATTCCATGGCCAGGGATCGTGGTTGCTTGACTTTGGGCAGCCGCAATGAACTGAGAACATGGAGGCGATGGTCCTCGAAGGGCAAAGCTGCGCTTTGGGGCAATGGCTAACACGATGCAAGTGCGTAAGGGTGGGCGTGGACTCGATTGTTTCTCATCGAAAAGAAGCATCTTCCTTTTGCTTCATAAACATTTAAATTGCCGGGTACCTTCTGGGGATGGGCAATTTAATCCCCACCAGTAAAATCACCCAGTAAAACAATTGATTATTTTATACGGCTAATTGAAAAAATGGAATCGATTATTTTTTGCACCGATTAATTTTTCCGTTTATTTAGATTTATTATTTCCATTATTATTTAAATATTAAATAAATCAATATTGGTTAATATATCAAATCTCAAATAAAAATTATAAAATATCTCCCAACCCACAAACTTTACCAATTTCCCCTTTTCTCTCTCTCTCCAACTACAGAAAAATGAAGATAAAACTAAGCGATTAGTTTATGTTAGCAAAATTGATGAAATGAAAAAGTCACTATAAGTGTTCTGATATTACAGTTATGGCACATTGGCATTCTGAAAGTCAGATTTACGAGTTTCCAGAGAATTGTTCTGAAGCATGAACGCCATAGTTATTGATGTTACTATTTCTATACAATTCCCCAAACTGTTCATTTTATATTTGACCATATTATTATGACTTTATGTAAATTCAAAAATGGATACATTTTTGGTTCAATGGCAAAAATTTTCAACTGCTAGTGGAAAAGGCACAAGATCGTGAAGATGACGGCAACTCTGCTTTTGAAACTAATTTTTTTTCAAGTTGGCGCCTCTGCTTTTAGCTCGATCTGATGCGAGGCATTGCAAATCTCGTGGTTCTTCCGGGAGAGGGCATGCATTCGATCCTTGAAAACGGTGAACGGGTATAAAATTTGATAATCTAGCCTTTTCAGAATCCATAAACTTTTTCTATGTAAATTGTAACTATGTAATAGCAAACGCACATTACCACAGGCGGAGGGAAGCGCACAGGATGGAGAGAGACACGGGCCATTACCACCTCCCCCCTCCGAAAAATTCGAAATGGGCCCCGTAGCCCTATGTGATAAAACTTTTTATTTTACGTATCAATTCCCAAGTGCACCCTTTTTAAGGAATTTCAATTTGAGGAATAAAAGATGTGCTAAATATGGGAAAGAGGCTCTCTAAACTATCTGTGAACCTGTAAAAGGTTCAACATAAAATCAACTGCACACAAGTTTTGCTTATTTCCTAGTAAAATACGTCATATGTAAATAAAGAGTTTAATGGCAAAGGAAATGTAATTGCCTCCTCTTGGACGGCGCAAGCCCATGGCCATTACGCAACTGCTCTGTGGGAGACTTACACAGATTTTTCGGGTTCCAGGCTGCCTGACGATAACACACGTTCAAACAAGACCCGAGTGTTGTTATCCTCTGCCATCAGACAAACAAAGTGTATTAAAACGATTCATTTCAACATAAATACCAACAGAGAAATATTCGGTAAAAAAAAAAGAAGGATGCAACTTACCGTTTAGATGAGAAAGATAATCTATGTAGCACAAAATATATTCAGGATTGTCCGAAAATTTCTTGAGGCCTAATTCGAATATCCTAAAAGCGATGTTCTTGTCTTTGCTGCAGTAGTACTCCATGAGCGCCGCCGCGACGAACACGTGGAACCTGGAGCGAGGGTCCTCCCGCGCCCGCTTGAACACCGTCCTCGCCGACTTGATGCCCTCGGCGCGCCGGGCGAACTTCATGTATTGCACGAACGCCTGCGGCAGACAAGGAACCCCGAATAACCCGCGTCCCTCCGTCACCCCCTCTCCGTTCCGCCAAGCCAAGCAAATGAGGGTTCATCTCGGTCTCCCAGTGGGAAACTCGTCCTTTTTTGCGGATCCAACCAGAAGATCCGAAGAAGTTTCTCGGAACTATCAGAGCTAAAATAGCACATACTTTCTCGCCTCTTAGTAACGGTTATGTAATAATATTATACCAGTTATCAATTAAGCAAAATAAGGTTTATTACGTGTTATTTTACTAATTTGAGCATTGTGCCTGTGAATTTGAGAGGACCAGCTGACGTGAGCCAGGCAGAGATTGGTAAAATACTCGTGAAAATAACGCCAAGACAGATGACACATAATACAGTTTTTGAAATACTTGGCGTTCAATACATTCTAATACTTTCAAGTGCTGACAACGTAATTGTTGTATTTCAGGATCATCAGGGCGACAACCAAACTAATAACTTTTACCAATCAATATAAGGTAAAAAAATATGTAACGAGATTATTTATATAATATTTGCCCGTGATTGTTAGGTAACACATTGTGCACAGATGTTCGGCAAGTAAACGAAATCACAACGCGAGAACGAGACCCGCCAAACATCTGTGCACGACGGGTTGCATACCAATCAGTAAGGGGGGAGGGCGAAAGGTACATGAACTTGGTTCTACAAAATTTACCATCACTTGTTCAGTAACGAAAGGATATCACAGATGTGCAGTCGTAACTTACTAGATAAGTAAAGAACTAATAATAACCTGAACCCGAATGTCTTTTTACTTCTCATCTAATGGAATATTTTCCACACGTTCACTTTACTTAATGAGAAAACAAGTGAATACAAGAGACGCACCGCCCTAGGAAATGCTAAAGTAAGTCAGCTCCCAGGGAGGCACATCACACAATGTCAACACTTCAAAAAGCATGTTTATGACTACGTATATCTGAAACCTGTAGAGAACGATCTTGAGAACAGTACTTACTAATGTCGGGTCTATGTCTTGAATGTCCAAAAATCTGCTGTAAATTTGATGCACTTTTTCGTATTTCAAGCGTCCTTCCTCAAAATCAGCATACGCAAAATACAACAGCATATTCTTTTTAAGTAAGGTAGACGTTGCTCTTTCATAAACGGTTGCGGCTTCATCACTAAAAAGTTTAGCAGCTGTGACATCCTGTAAAAGAAGGATTCCGGAATTAAAAAATCACAGTAGTAATACAGATTTTCCTTCAATTATTTTGCAATTATGTTCCCGGTTTCGCCGTGGACCCCCATCCACGGGTGTTCTGAAGGGGTATCGTAATGCATGGGAGCGCGTCTGTTAATGTTCCGTATTCGCTAGACAAAAACTCAACAATTTATTACTTCACTAATTAACCAATAGCTGTAAATGCGAATGAAACATTTAAATAATTATTTATAAATAGTTAAAAGACAATTACTTAATTGTTGCTTTTGCAAATAATGTTTAATATTAAAATCATTTTGTTTTATTTTTCATTTTCATAAGTTGGCAATACTAAACTCGGCTCCCGACCACTGCTTTATGCTTTGAACATCTGACCGCATAGAAAATCAATTATCGTCAAATAGGTTGTGATTGTGAATGAATGTGAAATTAGCGCGGTTTTCGATCGCGTGTGAACAAAGATTTCATTTGCTCGTGAAAATTATCCTCCTCGGCTCCTATCGTCGGCTCGGGGCACTAACTTACCCCTCGCGATATACATCATTTATATGTAATAGCAGTAATGTCTGTTAATTAAAAGCAGGTGGGTGTGGATCTTACCCCCTTCTCGGTGAGCAGCTTGGAGCTCTGCTCGAGGAACTGCGCCGCCTCGTACCAGACGTCGGGGTGGTGGCCCAGGCACAGCAGGCACTGCTCGAAGGCGAACATGACGCGCCGCGTGATGAGCGTCGTGTCCTCCGTGCGCAGCGGGTTCGACTTCTCCCACGCGATGTACTTCTTCCACAGGTCCACCTGCTCACGCCCACGCATGCACCCTCACTCTCTCCCCTAGTCATGCAACGTCCAGTGCACCACTGTTCCGCAGGGCAACACTGGTGCACCGCGAGTTGCCATGCAATCAGCATTATGTTCTTCGGGAAAAAGTGATCATTTTAGATCTCTGAGAAGATTCTAACATTTATTCTGAGGCATTCGTGCGTCGGAATAAACGTAACAAACTTCTAAAGCAGGGAGAGGGGTTAAAATCACCACCTTTTGCCAATGAAGATACAGTAGGTTATTTCTTGTAAGGGTGTTACATATGTAATATTTGCCAATGAATGATAGCATGCAAAACCGTAAGTAGGTAGTACTTCGATAGTAGGTGAAACCTCCTACAGTGCATTCAATGTGACTTGCGTAATCATTTGCCCAAGGAGTTTCCTAATATGCAGGGGGCAAATATCAAATGAAACAATCAACAAATATTTCTAATGTCATTTAAAGAGAAAAACGTTTCTTTTCTGGACACTAGTTTCTTCACAATTTCACTTCTACAGAGTCCAGAAGCTGCACAGAATAGCAGGGGCATAGGAATAGGGAGGTAGCGGGGGCGTACCTGCTTGAGCTCCTCGGGGTGGCCCGTGGGGGGCACGCTGGGGCTGTTGCGGTTGAGGCCGCGCGTCACCGCCTCGAACTCTTTGGCGACGCGGCGCGCGTTCATGTAGTCGCGGCCGCGCTCGATCGCCATCTTCTCCGCGATGATGGGGTTGATGTTCTGCTCGAAGCTCATGTAGTCCTTCCACAGCTGCTCGATGTTCACCATCGGGTTCACAACTCCTCGCTGATACACCTGAGAAGCAAGACGACACACCCGTCTTTAAAATAATACAGAGCTTCTGATCCACGATATAAGGTTGAAACAATTTTGGAACAAGCCTAGAAAAGTTTCCTGATTTCCTCTGATTTACCGTTTACATTTGTTCTACTAAAAAAATCGTTTTATTTTCCTTCATTATCAGTTATTTCTTGTTGATATTCAGTAATTTCTATTTGTAATTTGTACTCCTTTATGTTGAATTTGTAATTTTCATAATCACATTAGTTCAGTTATATTTTTCTCTCATACAAATCATAATTGTGATATTACTCTAATCTGTGTAGTACTGATGATGCCCGCAATTCGGTCGAAAATGCCTGACGTTGAATTAAATGTATATGATAAAACAACGCTTTATAATTAGTTTTGTAACGATATATAATTTGGGAAGTGTAATGCTTTTTTCTTTTCCAACATTTCTACGGTTATTCTTTTTGCATGATGTAATCAGAGGAGTTCAGAGTATTTGATTACGATAGGTTTTTTTTGAATTAACAAAGTATGTCCCCTTTAATGTAATCGAAATCCCGAGGGGATAGAGAATTTAAAACAGACTTTCAGATGCATTCATTTAATCACGAATATCTCGTGTCTCTCTGCTAACTGCATTATATTCACAGCGCTAATAGACCTTCCTTCTGACGAGTGTACACAGTTATATATCAAAAGAACGTTAAACAGGGATATTATGACACTTTATTTGAGATCGTATTGTTGAGATGATTCCAATACTTTTCCTCCCTAAACTATACTAACACTGAGGGACTTACGTAATCACACAAGTTTGCTCAGTTTAGTAGAAAACATTTCTTATTTCATAACCTTCAATTTGATGTATGACAGAAATTTAAAAAAAATAATATTTAGTATTTTTCTTAGTCTGAATGTTTACAGATGACAAATTTTCTTAATTTTCAGAAAAGAGTTAAACATAAACATATAAGATCTACTTTTCTCCCTAAGAATTAGAAATTATTTATAGTTTTGTACAAACCTTTCTAACAGCACTAATCTTCTGATTTTCAGCATAAGATCCAACAGCTTCAACAGCTTTCAAGAAGTTTACATAATCATTCCAAATTGAGTAGGATTGAATATCCATCCCAATTTTTTCCAAGGCGAAATCATATGCTTGAGCCATTTTCTCTCTAAATTAAAAAAAAGTTAATATTAACATTCTACCTGAGTTTATTGCCAGTAGCTAACAAATTAAAAAGAATTCAAATAAATAGGGGAGGTTACATTAACAATGAAAATGTTTGTGTGTATATATATATATATATATATATATATATATATACATACACATTTTGTGTGTGTGAATGTGTGTATGTATGTATGTAAATGTAGCTTCACTATGCGCACGTTTTATTGAACTCTCCTTTTACTTGTAATGGTAAGAGTAGCGGTAAGGGCGAGTTGCTATTTTGTTAGCAATGCAGAAAAATCATACTTGCAATTCGTGTACCGATGCAAATAAGTTTTCTATAACTCAGAGACAAAAATGACAATTTTATGAATATTGATCTTGCGATTTTTAAAATTTATTTATTTTATTTATTTACGTTAAACCTTTATTCGCCTTTCAACTATTTTTAGTTAAAATGACTGGAAGGGATTCTGGAACTCAAGAAAACGTGCGCAAATAATCTTTTCCCTCCTACGTCACATACAGTTTTTCTTTTTTGACTGAATAAATCAAAATTTATATTATATATAGATGTACGCGATATACGCGTGCGGACAGGCCAAAATGGACTGCGCAAATATCACTTCATATAGATTCCTGCTTTGTTCGTCCTTCATCCTGTTCGACTGCACAGCTCTTTTTCACAAGTCCATTCTCCCCTGTTCTAAAGGAATTTTAAGTCAAAATTTGTTTCTATTTTCTTTTTGATTTAGACAATCTTGTTCAGTAATTTTAAATTTTTTTATACCTTCCTTTATTTGACATTGTCTCATTGGCCTTTCTAATTCCAGGTTTTATCAAAAATTTGTTTGTTCAACCTTGATTGGTCCATGCGGACTATATGTAAAGCATTTTGAAAGAAATATATTCTTCAGCCTAATACTATAATATTTTAATATCAATTTTAGACTCACAATTTGTTCTGCACAAGATATATTTCTTCTGAAACCATTCTGGAACTCACCAAGTTGTGTATCGATCTGTGGTTCAAGCCTTTAGAAGTAATTTGGAAAATATTTTATACGTTACAGAAAACAGCGAGATATCTCTATAATTACTGACGTCCGTTTTGGGGGCTAATAAGTGTATATTTTTGATTGCGAGATTTGATGGTTAGAAATGATAACCTGGCATTAACACTTTTGAAAACAATGACAAGAGTCCAAAAATCTTAACCATAAAAGCCGTTCCCACATACGGCATGTTTTTCAACACGATGTGTATGAAGTATGTAACAAAATGTCGTATGTATCAATGCTCTCTCCCCAATATTTTTTGTAATTTTACTCAATTTATTCACAACGATTACCTCACATTATCCAAAACTTTCAAAGGGGTATTTCCATTACTTACACAGTTCTTTCACGCATCATTACAATACTTTCTCTATAAAGAGTAAGAATTATGGGAGAAAGTAAAAGTAAATTAGTGGTGCTTTAACAGCACAACTACTTTTAACAATCTCAATTTTCAAGTCAACGAAAAGATCTGCCCAAAGTTTTAAGCGTATTTTGCTCGTTCCATGTAGGTTTTTCTTTTTCTCGCTACTGCATAAGTTGTTTAAAGAAAGTACTGTAACGCCGCGAAGAAAAAAACGGTGCATTTTCAAGAGAATCTCTTATTGCCTGGACCCTGGTAACGAAAATATGAATAAATCTTGTTCCTATGATAGTAAATTACTTCCTCTAATAGCGAAGGGGTCCACGAGGATGGGTCTAGCCTTCTGAAAGCAGGGGAGAAAAAGGTGGTAACATACCAACCAGTCATCCCCTGGCAGCCCAAATTCATGGTTCCCATGCCAGAATCCTGCCAGTGGTGGTGGGAACCTCTGTGGCTGTGCCAAAATTTACAGTCAGTGCCCTCAAGACCCTGGGGATCACGTCTCGAGGCGATCTACTGACTATCTCGTTAATTGCTCTCGGAAGCTCGATTAAACTTTACACACAATTTGTAAATTACGATGGAGCAATTTAGCATTGCTGGTAGTAAATGTAGGCAAGAAACTTCAATGTCCTGTGGGGAAGTCTAGGGTACCCATTGGATCCTAAAATGCCTAGGAATATCCAGTTACCACGACATTACGTGGGAAGTGTATGCTATTTAATGTAGCTATAGAAAATTGTGTGGTCAAAATCCATATTTTGTGGGACCTTGATACCGAAAAATCAAAACGTCTGTTCGTCCGTCTGTGAACACAGCTAATGACCAAACCATAAGCAGGATTTTCACCAACATTGATATTTCCCCATCGATCTGGCTGATGGCACGGCGGATTGAATTTGAAAATTCCTGGGACATTTGCAAAATTCTTAAAAGAATGACACCATTTTTTCATTAAACTATGACCTTGAATAGCGTAATGGATGCTTAACAGAATGGTCAGACTTCATTTTCGTTCAAATCCGTGAGTTTTCGATAATTGCAAAAATTAGAAGTTGTTCGGCATCTTCCTACAAATCTATGAAGTTTATTTTTATTTTATTTTTTCTTAATGAAAAGTGTTCATCAAAATTGATCTACAAATAAGCTCATATTCAATATTTCGAAAACATGAGTATTTTTTGCGTAATTTTGCGTCAAGGACAATTTCAAAATTGTTAAACCATTATTTTCTCTGAAACACCTCTAAATTTATTCTTTAATTTTTTTTCACGTACGCAAATAATGGCAAAGATAATGATGCTGGTCCTATTTTCGGAGCACTCTCTGTATTTTCAAAAATTGAAAAAATCTGAAGGAAATTCAAATATCCCGCGCTTTGTTTTAGGCGCTGTCCCTTTATGAATATAATTTGCAGGTGCTTGGAGGCAATAGGATATTCCGAGAATCCTTTTTTGTTGTTGGGACATGGTATAGATGTATGAAACCCCGTTTTAATTGTCGATATTGTGCTGATATTTACTTGAAAATAATTATTTTTCTTTCCTAATGTTCTCAGATGTAATGGGTGGAGACAGCAATTTCATGTAGATTCAGGTTTTTATTTAATTTTCGCAGAGTTTCCAAACTTCGTAATCTTAATGTTACATTTTAATTTTTTTCTTCTTCGGAGAACGCGAATGAGGTCTGATTTGATTAACTCACTGAATTTTCGTAAATTGCAAAAGATGGGAACTATGAGAGAAAATGTAGAATGTTCTAGTACAACTTTTTCGACCTCAAGGACCTACTAAACGTGTTTCCTGCCACAAGATTATTAGAGGAAATAATTTACTACAAATATGAACACTATCCACTTTTCCGTATCAGGGCCCCATAATATAGTTTTCTGTCAAAAAATCGCCGGTTTTGGGGGAACATTACATCACTTTTTATTATACTACGCAAGTAGTATGCAAGAAAGTAAAAATGTGTGAAATATTACCTCAGTTTTCAGTTAATAAAATTATATTGTTATGATTTCTTTAGTAGTACATTTCAATATTACTATTTCAGAACTGTGGGAATGTTGAGTAATCAGGCATTCATCATGTAATTCGGGAAGAATGTGTAACAACGCCATGTAAGATAAGAAAATAAAATAAAGAAGAATATGTACGGTTTTTACTAGGTTGTCCGGGTGACGCCGCGTAGTAAATACAGCCTAGTAAATACTGACTCCGGCCGCGGAAGCCTACGCTCTCATCTGAACGGTTTATTGTGTTTTTGTTGCTTTCCAGGCAGAAAACGCAAAACGATACTTACTTGTACGTAGGAAGGGTGGATTTGGTCTCCTTCACATACGCCAGATACAGTTTCCACAGGTCAATGTTGAGGACTTTCATAAGGCAGCGCTGGAACAGCTGCACAGAGAGAACACCGCACGTGATTAGAGCAGCAGTCGCCAGAGCGGAGCGCCGAGGAACGGGCGGGAGGCTGCTTCGGCAACGTTTCCTTCGGGGGTGGAGAAGTTTCCGAAAAGAGAATAAAGGATTTCACACTTCTTTGCTGTAACGTTGCAAAATAAAAACACACTGAAAGCTCTTTTTTCAACGCTAAATGTCATTTATTTTGATATTACAATGGTCAGCTCAATTATAACACGAAATTTCAAAACATTAAATTATTGAAATATACTTCAATCTAGTCATTTGTTATCTGAATTGAAAATATTATTGTACATAAATTCAACCAAAAACGTAACATTATATTTTAACAATCCTTTCTATCGAAAATTCTTTGGAAACTCGCTATTTGCAATAATATTTTAAATGGCTACTCGTCGCCTTGGGGGGGGGGGGACTAGACGAGACTAGTGGAGGATTTTCAAACACCAGAGCAGATTCTTAATAATACGCCGAATGTATTTTTCGAGCAGTGTCATATCGAAAACCCAATATATTTATTTAATAAAACTATTGTCACCTCTACCGTAAATTGGGTTTCCCGAGGCATGGTTGGCCCTGCTGTCGGAGTTAAAGAGATCAAATTACTACATCTCCACAAATACTTCAATGCTGACCAAAATTCCAAAAACTCAAATTACACCCCTGTCTCTCAGATTTCGCATACCGTGATACTAACGGTTACCCCAACATAAAGATAAATTCAATGCACCGTTCTATGTTTTCGAAATTGTGCTGGAAAGTAGGGTTCAGTTTGCTTCTGATTTGTTGTGACGAGTGTGATACAGAAAGCTCAAATTGGTGCACCCAATACTAGACTTTGCACGATATCCATCTGCTCAATATCTCTGTACAGACATGTACTCATATTTTCTAGTAAAGACTATTTCCATTTTTGTGAATAAATATTTAAGTTATTATTATAAATGTACATTTGGATCGTACAATAGATATATCATAATTTCCTTCTACGCTTTTAGTTGTTACTTTCGCTTACAACAATGTTTCAAACCGTTAGTAAGTTAAATAACGTGTGAAGAAAATGACTCCGTTAAAGGTCACAGCGCTTTGTGAGATACACGCGCTTAGATTTTTTTCAGCGTATCTTGCACTCAGTACCGCGTGTGCATCTTCCTCGCATAAGTCACTTCCTGGAGCCCTGTGTTAAGAGTGTAAATAACATTTTTAAACTTCTAAGACGAATTGTATTACAACATCGGTGAAGGGAATTTCTGCAAAATGCTGGAGAATGGTGTACAGTAACTGCAATGCTGTTGGAAGTTCCCAGTCGTCGCGACGCCAGGATACCGCATTTAATTAAGAGTCTTTGCCAATTTACTTAAATGAACTTTATATCAAATGAGCTCTTTACAAGGCAACGGCAAACTAAAAAGAAAATTGAGCTTGATTGAATGAAGGATTTATTTTGCCATCTGGAATTCCTACACCACAAGATCCTGAATATTATTCAAACCTAGGATGCAAATCGACTTCAGTTGAAACAAATAGTGAAATGAACAAAAACAATAATAATAAAATAAAACTATTCTTCACCCACGCTGATCGCCCAAATGCGCCAGCGCTCCAAATGGGAAAAAGACGCAGCTCAGCTGATGAAGGAACTCCAACCCGGGCCATAAAAATTAATTGCGTGTGGTAGTCGAAAAACAGTTGTTCAATTCAGTCTGCTATTGATGAAGCTTTATCTTTATTTGTCATCGCGCAACTCAGTAAACACCAATTCCAAGTTTTCCGAGATTGGCTCAAGGAAAGGGAGCCATATTGTGGCCTACATGTAAGGAAGTAGGGGCTGCTAAGGAACGATGTCATCCACGGAAAGTTTCACTTCACATTATGGTACTTGTTCGGAAAGATGTGAAGCACTCTGACAACTTTAATCTAGAAATGTCTGTAAAACAGCTCCAAAGGAAATTAATGATACAGATGAATTATTGATAAGGATGTATTTACTCCCCTGGCCTCGAAAAAAATGAAAGTATTCAATAAGAAGAGATAAAATTGCAACAAAAAAAAACGCACAAAAATATTAAATTGTATAAAATGTAAAAATCTATTTATCTTGAATAATGCATTATGTCACATATTTATGTGCATTCCATTAACCACTTATTCAATTTCCAGCAATTTCCTACCCTGGAAACGCGGTAATTTGAATATGGGAGTTTCGGCGTTTCCTGACCGAGTGTATAGTGGGTCGTTTCGTTACCAAGAATTGTACGTTTTTGCTACTTCAAGCTTCTTTCGCTGAGTCACTTATTTGTCAATTTATTTTTGTTTCATGAATAACTTTTGACAATTTTGCACCTCTTATAGATGTCTAATAAGACTCTTGCTCTTCTTCAGTTGCTACAAACGTAACCGCAGACTTGCCTTAGAAATATTTGCAAATGTCTTCACTGGTGGCGAGACTCATTATTCTGGCGCTGCTCTTCTGCCTGACCACTTTCAGAAGATTAATACAAAATACGATGGCATTAAAAAAAACGTGCCCTCTTAGGGGGAAGGGGTTCTCACAAGTGTGACAAGACAGAGAAAAGGAGAGGGCAAAGGATGTTGATGCAAAAAACATTTTTGAGATTCTATTAACTTTAAATCTGAAACGAATGTTAAAATTAATAAAAATAAATCGAGATATTTATTTGAAACCTCTATGAAGGTGTGGGAAGATTTAAAAAGGACTGAATTTTTTTAAACAAAAATTACATTGGGAGGGTATTTCGACCGCTTACAGGCGACAACACGTCGGTTAAGAGTTGATATACCGACAGAAACATGACACATTACGTTGAGAACTCAAAAAATATGATTTTCGTTTCTAACTTCTGACTCCCCATCTGAAGCTTCCTCTACCGAGAGCACCTAGGTTCGAGTAGGGTTAGAGACTGGAATATCGCCATTAGCTGTCTTCTAGCTGGTTGGAAGCCTGAATTGCAAGAACGAGAATTCTAGAGGCTGTTTGCTCTGAACTACTGTTTCCTCCATTCAGTTCCACGCAGATAGGTAGTAGTACCTTAAACAACGGACCTGTAATACTTCAACCCGCCTTCATGTCCATGACGACACCCTCTCAATCCGAAGTTACATTAAACTATAAGACAAGTAAATGGGCCAAAAGAAAAAAAAAACATTCTACATAACAGTCAACTTGTAGGAGATTTGCCATGACCTTGTGATTAGTTAGTGGGAGAATATGGGCGGGATACGACATGCAGATGCTTTCTGGCGGTGAATAAGTTCGCAAAAAATATTAACCAGAGATCTCCACAGGCCATTCATGCAATCCAATATTTTAGAAATTAATAATGGAGAATGAACGTGAGCGTCGGGGGGTTCACCCGGAGTATTTACGTAGGCAAAAGCGTCGAGTATTCTAGGGTTAACATAACACTTTATGCTGTCTTTAAATCAACGATTTGATGTTGTGGACTTGATAATTCCAATTCAGTGAAGATTATACTATTAAATTTTATTGAAAACTTGATCTGCCTCACCTTCAGCCAACAAAATGATCAATAAATTATATCTACTACTAGACTACATGTGTATCCATTTATTTGCTCTCAGAGAAATGTACTCTTTCCTTAGTTACGAGTACACATTTGAGAAATTTTCTTTTTTCACTAACAAAAAATAATTTCATTTGTTCAAAATTTGAACTTCTGACGAAAATGCATAACATCAAATCAGCAGAAACAAGACGAGCATTGACTTACACGTCAATGACTTCAGTGTAGCCTGGAGCTAGCTAAAGGCATTGAAACTGTTTAGTTCTAATTAGCAATAAAATAATGTAACAAAATGTTTTCAGCAGCGGCTCCGCAAAATGAAGCCTTGAATGCCCTGCAATGAAGCTGCTGCTTCCTGGGTCGGATGGGGCTCCGGAGTTTGTGATCCATTTGCCTCCTACATTCACAATATTTTAAGGAGGTCAGGCACAAAAGATGATACCCATTAAAATTGTAGTTTTGTGTTTATTTTCAGTCATTTGTTGTCCATGCACTGTGATAATCAAGTAGTTTAATTTTGGCTTATAAAATTTATCTGGGTGTTGTCATTTTTTTATGTAACCCACTAACCAAATGCTACGTAGCTTACACCTTGATAAAGTTACAGTATCGGCTGTCATGTTTTACACTCGAACCCTCCATTTGTTAAACATACACATCGCTTACAGCCAAAGTTGGCGAGTGGGATATAGGAAGATTTCTGGTAAGTTAAACTGTGTATTATTGGCATACACACGATCAATAAATATTAGATTTTTGAAGACACAGGAGTGTACTACTGCGTATTGTTGCATATTAGAAACGATGTGTCGTCAGCACAAGTGTGACACGTTCTAAGAAGGCGCGAGCACGCATTATACGTTCGCATTACATAATGATTTAGTTTTATAGAAGGCGAAGTATTCTTAGAAATGACCTAAACAATAAATGAACATAAACATTTCTACCAAGAAATTAACCTTGAGACAAAATTTAATTAAAAAATGTTAAAGACATAATTCTAACATACGATAATAAAGGGTGTGGTATATTGTTCCTACGACTACATTGTTCATTTTAGATGGCTATAAAATATTCCAGAATAATATCCGAGACATGGCATTGAAAAATCGAAAGACGCGAATTTATTCACAACAGGTGTCTGCTCAAAGTAGTAAAAAATTCGAACTTTTGGAAAGATTTTCTTATCGGTTACTTTTTTAAGTTTTGTTATGCCTTTCTCACTTACCTATTGTATCCATTTTCCATATTGAATCCCTTCCCTTCCATCCTTTTTCTGCCCCTTACCAATGCCTTTATGAGCTGTTACCCGAGTTTTCTCGTAGGTCATCGCATCAGTTGTAACCGTTGTTACCTCTGTGTGGGGATTGAACAAATAGATATTTGAGTTATCGAGTCCCCGATCAGTTCCATCACCAGTTATAAGCTCTACTGCTTGAAATCTGGCAACGATGTTCGAGGGCCTAGAGTGGTACCAGATCCTCATTGCTCTGCGCTATAGTTTGGTTTAAGTGGGTTTCCTGCGACTTCTACGAAGTGTTTCCAAAGTAATTGTGACGAGTGGAGCGCTTTTGAAGATAGTATATTCTATTTTATAGGGTATTTCTTCAGTACTACCTTCTTGTTATTTATGCAAGATATTTCGACCAATGAAATAAGGTAGGGTTACTGATTACAATTAATTTTCATACCACTATAAATTATAATGCATCTTATTTACACATAGTAAATATGTTTCCATTTCGCAGATGGTAAGACTGTGGCATGGCTAGATGAATAAACGTCCAATTACGTGAGCACGCGGAAAAAACGGAGTACCAGTTGTGACTAGTTTGTTTTTTCGAAGAAGAAAGCAGACGTCGTGCATGGTTGCGTGCAACCTCTCGAAACAAATTGGGCATCTAGTAGAAATTCAGGTCTTTGTATCAATCATTATTATGGAGATAGATAGTGGAGTGATAGTTTATAAAAATGTGTCTAATGACGAAACACAAATCTTTTTTTTTTTTCCTTGCACGCAGATAAAAACCCAGTGTCATGCCAAGTATGTCTAGAGATGAACTTTCTTTCTTGAGTTTTCTGAGGCCAGCAGTTAAGAACCATCAGCAACAAAATGAAGAGATTGTCCCTGATGAACACTCTGTTAGGGAATTCTTAGATTGTGATATTTCGGACTTCTTCCAAGCACAAGGAAAAAACACAAAGAATGGCAGTATAAGCAAATAAATAATTCTGTTTCACTTCATATTTTCAGGGTTAGTTCTGATTTTGAAGGACGCCAAATTGAACTAGAGCTGTTAATACAAATCTCTTTATTAAATTACATTTACGAGCGTTGAAATCCCCAGTAATGATTTGAAGTGGATTATCCCTGCAAACCAGCATAAGAAATTGGTCACCGTTTGAAAACGTTTTGTCAAGATACAAAAACAAATTTAGATTTTGCTTCTCTAAGTACTTTTTAGTATGGGTAAAGGAATGGATTTTTGTTGAAAAAACAATGGATTATGATGAGAAGAAAATAAATATAAAATTAATAATTGATCAATTCCAATTAATGACTACAAATATGATTCCACAACCATTGTTTGCATGCATATTACATTCTCGGTCTGCCAATGCTTTTATGTCTTCTGTCGTGTGCACCGTTGTCTTGCCTGACAAGCGATATCTGCAGCGACTCTGTACCTCAATTAATGTTCATCCAGGAACTGACATATACACACATCATAGTATTTAAAGCAAGTGCCCAGTTATGTGAAAGGAAGGAGACTTAAATTTTAGTTTATTATATAAAATGGTAATATATATGGTAATTTCAGCTACAAGAACATTATGGAAGGAGAAGAAATGACAAAAAGGGGCACAAATTGCAATGTATCATTTAGGCGGATAACTGAAAAGAAATAAAAATTGCATAAAATCTTTAGTCAATTAACTCAGATCAACTTTTAATTTACTAGTGTTTTTAAAATTTATTATAACTTTCAACTTATAACTCTTATTTTTTAATTCTGGCATGGACTGGCATTCTGGCATGTTGGAAATACATGTGTAGATGATTATGTGAAGAATTATACACTGAAGAGCCAATGTTAATGTAATCAAGATATCTTAGATTATGTCAATCCTGTATTTGTTTATGGGTAATGATGTACAACACATTGTAAAAAAAGCATTGTCCATTTTTTGAAAAATTTTATTTAACAATTACAGTAAAGTATTAAATGAAAAATGTCAAGCAAATAAAATTAGTAAAAAAGAAAACTGCAACCACTTTTTACATTACGTTACTCGCGTACTTTTTTAGCTACGCGACTTTTCGAAGGAAAACTCTTATTGTCAGGCCCAGGTAACAAAAACGGAAGATAAATCTCTTTCCTATACGAAATAAATTACTTTCTGCGACACAGTGAATAGTCAGAATTCATGTTTTGTGGGTTCTTGTTACCGAAATTGATGGGATAACGTCAGCACGTCCGTCTGTGGTCAACATTGGCACTTAAACCGTTCAGCTGATTTTCTCCTAAATTGATATTCCCTGATCAACTTGAACGAACTCGAGGGCTGCGAATCTGAAACGGTTATTTTGATTTTTGAGAGAACTTAACAAAAAGTATCAACATTTTTAAATTTTTGTTCAATTTTTCGAAAAGATGAGTACTTGTTGCGTGAAACATAAGCAATTTTATTTTGTAAAAAATGGTTCCAAATTTTTGGATTCATGTTGTCTTCATATAACCTAAAGAACTTTTAAAGAAATGGTACGTGCATTTTCGTTAAAATCCCATTTTTTTTCTTGCAAATCTGTAAAAGTATATTTTTCAGACAAAAACAAAATATGTTTATCAAAAATAACATTGAAATAAACTCATGTTCAATTTTTCCAAACGTATTAGTTTTTGCCTAATTTTACGTGAATTTTTTCTTTTCAAACAATTTTCTCAAAATTGGCACCAAATGTTTCCGTTAATTTTTTCCTCGTATTTAAGAAAGATCCCATTTCTGTTTGGTTCTTGTTCTTTTTACGGCGAACCCGCTAGATTTTCACTTTACCGTATACGTACGTATATACGGAAAATCGTTGAGATTTCAATGGAAATACACGTTTTCGGGTACCCTGATACCGAAAAAGGGTTGTTATTTTTATTTTCTTCAAAACGTCCGTCCGTCTGTGAACACCACTAGCGCCTAAAACCATCCGTAGGATTTTTTCCAGAATGGATATTCCTCCCTACGTCTTCGATTCTGCGCTCTGGATCTTTTCCTCCATACGTCACATAGAACTTTTACAGTTTTTGACTAAATTTAAATCTAAATCCTCGGTCGATCTGTCAGGAGGCTTGGCAATTTTGAAAATCTTGCATTTTTTTACATTTCTTGAAAGAATTCAGTAAAAGATGCTTGTTAATGTGGCATAGGCCCGATTTTCACGGTTTCACTAAATTGTCCAGAATTGCAACTTTGAATTTTTTCGCGTCTTCCTACAACTACAAAATTGAAGGTTGAGATTTTTCCTTCAAATGATATTTGTTATCCAAAGTGAGTTCTTTCATTAACTTTCTGTACAATTTTTTGAAAATCTTAGTAATTTGGGCAATATTGCGTGGAATATGAGAAACTTTAAACAATAACAAAAACGGCTCCATTTTTTCATTAAATGTTTGGTAGGGATAGTGTTATATATAGTCTATGAGATGACATAAATGTCATATTACTCTTGTTGTTTTGGTTTTTCAAAAATAACAAAAATGCAATTTTTTCCCTCATGTTGATATTTACATTAGCTGCAATTTGTTTACATTGTTATATTTATGAGTACATGTACTTGAAATAATGTCATATAAAGCTTCCGGAAAGCACAAGCGTTTTCTGTGAAAATTCCACATTTCAGAAATACTCTAACGCCATTTTCACAAAAACGGCTCAAATTTGTTTCTTTAAACATTTCCAATAGAGTCCTAACTGCACTGTTTAAGATGACATATACTTTTTCTGTATTCATGTTTTTTTCTTAAATTTCACAAATGTAATTATTTTCAAAGATCTCTCACGCCGTTAATATGCACATTTTCAGCGATTTGTAAACACTATTGCATTTCTGACGAAGTATTTAAATTACGTCATATGAAGTGATTCGAAAACTCAATAATTTTCTTTGAAAGGAAATTCAAATTTCGTAATTACAGTAGCGCTTAAATGCCACTTTCTTAAAAAGGGCTCCTAATTTTCAAAAGAAAATTGCCATTTAGTACGAGGTTTTAAAGTTCTTTAATATTCTTAAAATAAAATGTCTGTTCTACTATTAAGAAGCCTAAAAATTAAAAAAAAAACAAAAAAAAACAAAAACGTGTACTTGGGGCGGCGACAGATGGCAGTTTGCAAGAGTATTTGGCAAATCCGAATAGCTTGCCGAGACCAATGGAATGAAAACTAATACGGAAAAGTCTGTGCCTTTCTGTAGCACTACTAGTTCATTTATTTGATTCAAAAATTCAAAATTATTAAAAGTGACATGAAAAATGGTGTGGTAGTATTATAGTCCGATTATTTAGCTATTAAAATTGACCGTTTTATGCATTGTAAGTAAATGACTTCACGAATTCATTATAGGGTATGACAATACATCATTTCTATGTAGTTGTCCTACATAATACTTTTGTAATCGTCTTTGTTGTAGTAATGAAGTAGTATACATTTTTGCTATTTTCTACGTCCGTTAACTTTGAAATTACAAAATTTATTTCTTTAAATCTTGCATTACCTTAAAATAGAGTGTGCATTTGTTGTGCATCCATTATTATTACAATTATATTTTACTATCCTGGATATGTAATTTTTTTTATAAAATACTTAAGGAAACCCTTTCGATTTAATCGCACGGGAAGGTTAAAGCCGAATCCTTCTACTTTCCTGGATAATTATTTGCCTTCTAGATTCAGACAGAGAAAGGAATGCATTCTGTATATACTCGTTGTATATTTTCTCTCCAGACTGACCTGGCGAGGCCTGCTCTGCCCAAACCCACCCTTAACCTTGGAACGCACTGGTGACCCCCCCCCCCACACACACATACACCATCCGTCTTACCGCCAGGTTGTGCGTGAAGTCGACATTTTAAAAGAATATTTTAAACTTTTTCGTATACGTACGTATTTGCGAATGCTTTCTCGTATATGTACTAAAATATGTAGTTCAGACAAAAGTTATGTTCGGCAAAAAACAGCGATTTTTCGACACCAAAACTA